CCTCGCCTTCCAGGTTGGACAACCTCTGCCCATTCTGCATCTGGGAATGCCTGGCGCACAGATTCAAGGGAAGGGCTCCTATATAATATATATAGATCTCATATACAGTTTAAGTTTAAACTATAGCGCAATGAAAACACCATACTTTTCTCTTGCCATAGCTCACTGATCCAGTTGAACTGTCATCGCTACCAAAGGTAGGCCCTACGCCCTGCCAGAAGGCAAGGATAAACGGTTGAAAGGTTTAAGTCCAAAATGCGTGGCACGCAAGAGGCTTAAGCCACATCTGTGCAAGTACATACTTGCTCACAAACCCCAATCCATTCATGTCGAATGGTCCCACTCAGCTCTCAGCAGTGTAGCTCGCATATGCCTCAGGTTTGTAAATAAGGGGCAAAAAATATAATTATTCTATTTCTCGACCAGGTAAGGATCATACACCAACTGGCAAACGGCAGTTGTATATATCCAGAATTGTCCAGCTCTCCTACCAAAAAAAATGAGTCATGGGTCTTTTGTTTCAATGGTTGAGTCTAGTTTCCGTTCGAGCTTTTTCCCTTGCTTCCTCCTCTGTCTTCCCAGCATTGATCGCCACCAGGTACGCATGCTTGTAGGCACAGCACTGCCTGGATCGCTTCTGCCTTTTCACAAGACTTTCTGGGCTCAACTCTCTCCCTTTGCGGGTGGGCTTTCTTCCAGGCTTTGCATTTTCATTTTCATCGTTCGCTCCTTTGGAAATCCTCCTTTTTTTGGCATCTGGCTCATATGTGCCCAAGTCCTCATTCTTTGAATTCTTGGGGCTATTCTTCTTTCCCTTTGGCTTTGCAACCTCTGTCTTGGGCTCTTCTCCCTTTGTGGGCGTCTTATCCTTCTGTCCTGCCTTTGGCTCTGCACTTGCACCTGCGTCACCTGCCTCAGTCTCCTTGGCTGCCTTTGCATCCTTTTCCTTCGGCTTCGGGTCTGAAAGTGCATCGCCCTTCTTGGCTGCCTCTGGCTGTGCATCCTTCTTGACTCTCTTCGCCTTTGAGCCCTCACCTTCATCATTCTTCTTGCCTTTGCCCTTCTTCTTCGTGCCCTCAGCTGCCTCATCATTCTCCGGTGCCTTTTGCTTTGGATCCTTCTTCGCCGTCTTTGGCTCTGTCTCATCATCCCTTGCCCTCTTCTTCTTCTTCTCCTCATCTGCACCTTTCTTGCCTGCTGAATCCATCTTTGCCCTCTTCGGCTTTGGATCACCGCTTGCTTTCGACTTCTCTCTCTTTGCACTCTTTGGCTCTTTGTCCATGTGCTCATCACCAGCTCCTTTCTCTGCATCCTCTGCCCCATGCTTCTTGCGACCTCTTGACGTCGCCTTGGCTTTGGCCTTTGGTCTGCCTCTGCCTCTGGTCTTTGGGGTCTGCGAATCTTCTTCATCCTCTGCATCTTCTTCGTCTTGATCTTCTTCGCCTTCCTTCGCATTCTTCTTCTTCTTCTTGGCTGCTCGTGGCTGTTCATGTGGAGCCACAGCCTTCTGGCGGTCAAGGGCTTCAGGCCTCTTGATTGGCATAAGGGGCTCATGGTTGCTTGTTTCCGTGCTGCCTGCCTCAATCTTATCTCCTGTCTTTGCTGGTGGCAGGTCTTGCTCCTTTTTCTCAGTCTCTTTTTCCTCTGCTCTTCCAGCCTTCTCATCGTCCTTCTCATCGTCCTTCTCATCCTTCCCTGTCATGTCCTTTGCCTTTTCTTCAACCTCCTCTTCCTCTCTGTTTGCCTGGCCATCCTTAGCCTCAATCTTCTCGTTGGTCTTCCCTTCACTCTTTGTTTGCTCCTCCTTGGCTTCTTCCTCCTCAATTTCTTCGTCTTCTTCACTCTCCTCGTACTCATACTCAATCTTCTCAGTCTGATGCTTTGGGATGGCCTCTTTCTTGTCTGTCTCTGCTGCCTCTACTTCATCCTTCTTCATGTTTTTCATACCAGAAAGGTCATCATCTTTCTTCTTTGTGCCTCCTGTCTCTGCCACCTTCTTTGCTCCTTTCTTCTTGTCTCCTTCCTTCTTGTTCTCTCTCTTGTCGCATGGCTCGTCCTGGCCAAGTACCAAGGTCGGCAAACTCAGAAGATCCTCCCTTGAAGAAGATCGGCTCTTCCTGGTCTCACCCTTCCTTTCTGCAACTGCCTTCTGCGGTCAAAAGTTCATACAAGTTGGGTGGAGTTGTTTAGGTTCCAACAGAAAAGTGATGATAGGTGATGTTACTTTTTTTGATATATGTTGGGGGTCCTCAGCTTCGATGGCACCAGCTGTGGCTTCAGCTGTAGCTTCCTCCAGCTCTGTGATGGAGAGTTCCAAGGTTTGCAACTCATCCATACCTGGTCGAGAAAAAAATAGATAAGTCTAGAGTACCTTTTTATTAGCCCCATAACCCACGCTATGCATATGCTACTGCTGTATCATGATGAATTTTTGTGGACTGCTGACTTAGGCTGCTACTCTTGGCTGGCGGCTTCGGGGGATTGGAACCCAGGCGTCTTTGCTTTTCAAGCTGTATACGCTGGAGCTTCTCAAGCTTAGCCAAGTGGGTCTGAAGTTGCTTGAGTTTCTCAAGTTTCTCAAGCTGTTCACGCTGGAATGCCACAGTTTCATCACTCTTTGGTTCCATGGGTTCCGTGCAAGGGACCGATTTCAAAGTCTCTAAATCAAAACCAATTGTACCACAAACCTGACATTCAAACCCATCTTCATGCTTGCGGATCAGGCGGTGGATGAACTTCTCCGCTGCGTCCTTCGAAGAGCTGGCAGCTGGAGGCTGCTTCTGACCTGCGCGTGGCACGATCTGGCATTTTTTTAAATGGGGATCAAATGATATAACTTTGGGCACCATTTTTTTTTGCTGGAACCCGTTTCGAAAAATACATGCATATGTAGCCAGGCCTGTGGTCTCTGAAACTGGTTTCGATTTCGAGCTGGCCTTTGGCTCACCTTATGTTCAAACTAAAATTGGGAAACATATATGTTTCAAGCCACTGGAAATCTAGGGATGTGGCAGTCAGGTGGGGTAGGTGGTCCTGGCTTGGTAGACGCCACCTGGCAAAGGACCCTAACTTTTGGAGTACAGGGATGAAAAAATGTGGGCAAACTGCACATAATATCAAATTATATAATAAAGATCGATCTAGATCTGGCCTCTACATCGCTCACTTCCACATCTCCCTCGGGTTCTTCCTCTTCACCTTCTTCATACCAACCATCTTCACCATCATCTTCGGGACTCTGTTCCGAGCAAGTACCTTACAAACAGTCTGGTGGATGTTAAATAAAAGTTGTATGTTGGTTCTATGTTTGCATATGGTTTTCAATACCCATGTTGATCCCAGATACCCTCAGGCAGGTCCACTCCAGCCTTTACGTAGAGATCACGCATGGCAGCCTCACGAGGCACGTGAGGACGCCGTGCAGCGCGTCCAAACTCGGTGATGAGGTTCCGCAGTGCCCAGGTGTGCATTTTGATCACCGAACCTGTGGTGGGAGTTGTCAACTATTTTTTGGGGTAGACTATAGAGCCTGCACGGATTCATGATATAATATATGTCCTTGATAGCGATCTTCAGAAAAATTAAGCTAAGCACGTTCAACCGGCGGCTTGTGGGGTGGCCTATTGGCCCAAAAGAACTCGTCCACATGCTCCATGATGATTTGAATGGTAGGCCTCAAACCTAGGATCAAGTGGGGGAAATTGAACTTCAAATTTCATGATCAGGACGTTAATCAATGTTAGATGTAATATGTTCATTGGCCATTTAGGAATGCAAGAAACCCACCTCTGCGATCAGGGGCCCCAAGATGTGAGCATTGTTGACCACATCTCGCCTATTGACGGGACCTTTGTCCTGGGTTGAGAACACCACCAAGTTCCCACTGGCAGCACCAGTGGCCAAGTAGTCCACTGAACTCCATTCTTTAGCCACTACTGACCTGAACGAGTATTGTTTCTGAAAGGCGGTGTCATTCTCACCAGTCATGCTACACCCCCAGGAAGCAGTGGGAAGCAGCTGATCGAAATCTTTGAAAAATTGATAGCTGAAATCAGCTGCAAGGATGAATGGAAAATATCATTTTTTGTTGGCAGGTTCCAAGATCTGCAATAGCAAACACGTGTTCTTAAAAGATAGCCGGGCAGGCCAGTGGATCCCACAAAGATCAAGGCCTTCCATCATGAGGTATGAATATGAAAACAACAAAAAATCAGTTGATCAAGTTGAACCCCTGGCCTTAAGGAGAAGGCTGCCAATCAAAAAAAAGCACCTGCACCCAGATTGTGCCAACTGAGGTGCCTCACATTCTATTTTTGCTTTGCGTGCACATCACATACACACATACTAGGCACCTGGTCATTTCCCCGGGACCACAGGAGCTGTGAAAGGCTCTGGATGGGAGCCAAAATGGCCCAAATGCAAAAAACATACGATCCTTAAAAATCAGGACGTTTTATGTCTCAAATGAATTTCTGCTACGAATTGGCAATGTACACTTTTTTAAGTTACATTGGAAGCTGCAGGTATATATATATATATATATCATACAAAACATCGTCGAACTTTCCGTGGACCATGCTTCCATTCCATAATTAACACATTTCCAGACGGTAAGTTTCCTTCAACCCATTAATAAAATATTAGTTACCCATTAGTATTACGATCCATTCTAGCATATCCCCATTGTGTCCATGTCCAACATCAGCAGGCATCATCGCACTTTTTGCTGCGAAAATCCCATTCGAAAATTCGCTAAAGCAACCGTTAACCAGTAGTGGTTAGGAAGTAGCTCAGCAGTATTCAGCGCGATGGGTATCGATATTCCCTATTAGGGAGCCAAGGAGCTACTAATTTTGGACTTTCCGAACCAAATGAAATCCAATGAAATCCCATCAAAAATCCATAAAAAACCGTGAAATGAAATGAACAAATCCTCTAAGTCTCCCCAAAAGTTGATGGTTTTTTTCATCTCCAGCTGCTCCACGAGCCCGGCGCCCCAGGTTATTTCCGCCTGGCCGCCGTGCCCTCTGTGGTGGCCCTCGCCTTGCCGTTGAACTTGGTGAGTCGCTTGAGATCGAACGTCCAGCAGGTGGGGCCTGGAAATACCTGGAAGGCCTGGTGGTTTCCTAAGTTATGGGGGTACCCCAAGAGCTGGATAGTGAATGAAAAATCCAACAATAATATGGATGATTTAAGGGGGATAGCCCCCATGACTTAGGAAATCTCTGGTTGAATATGGTTTTAAGATAGTGGAATATGGTTTAGCATATGGTTGACTAGGGTTGAACATAGTTTAATCTTTGTGAAATGGGGATATACTTGAGCAGTGGTTGCTAAGCCCTGGGGATTTACAAAAGTTAACTATATATATTATACTATATTTAACTATCAAAAATATCAAGATTTACTTGATAAATGATGTGTTTTTTTGGGAGGGGGAGGGGCGTTATGCTATCCAATATTAATTGGGGATGATCATTATCATCCATGAAATGGGAGTCCGAGTATATTCAACACTTCCCAGTTCTGCCTGGCACCATCCTTTCTGGCTGTTGGACTTGTCATCCGGGCACATCTTTTGTATTCCGCAAATCTACCCTGCTATTGCGATCTATTGAATCTACCCTCTGGTACCCTTTAAAGCAATCAAACCTGGCAATGGAACATCCCCAGCTTCATGCAACCTCCATGCATAGGGGATTTCCCATTGCCAGGTTTTCTCCATTAGCGCATGGGAAGGTTCGAGGCTTGGATTGAGTCGATTGCAGGCCATGTATGCTGCGATAATTGAGTCCAGTTGCTTGCGAACAGAACCTTGGTGACGCGTGGTGACATCCATATGGGCGTGCCCAAAATGGGCTATACATGGCTATACGGTATACCCGAACAAAAATGACAGTTTATGAGGCAGATGATGATGCACTATGGGGCGAAATGGTTGTTTCACCCCTCAATTTGCAGAGAAACCTAAAATAACCTAAATATGTGTTGCTTTCTATCCTGGCATGGCAGTCCCAACTTTGGCACGTCACGAGCCCCATCTGAAAAGTGGTGTAGTGTTTGTTGCTTCACAAGCTGATTCAATCATCACAAGCCAGCAGGATTGTTTTTCTATGTTTTTCTTCTGAAATCTAATGTAACGTTAGGGTTTTCCCGTGACTTTTCTTTTCGACCTGACAATACATCGAGTGACGCTTCCCCAGCAATATCAGATGGTAATCCAATGTAGATTTAGAAATTCACCATTTTTCATACTATGTCATCTATAATGTCAACCCCAAATTAATAAACCATGGTTTATTAATTAGAGGGGTACTCCTCCAATAGTCATTTCATCTACTTAAATGGTAGCCTCCCAATTCAACAGCCGTTAGTTCGGGGTAGAGGTGTCCTTCTCCGTTCCCTACCACTTCATCGAGACCGCGGGGATCAATGGAGCTGTTGCTGGGTCGGACTGGGATGTGTAAGGACTAGGTGACATCCGGATGCTCGAGCATTGATGATTTCAATGAGGAATTCAGCCTTTAAAATTGGGGATTTAAGCAATGGCTTGGACATTTCACCTGATTGCTTTTAAGGAATTATAGCAACAAATTGTCGATGTTTACCCTCTGGTGAACTAACATAGCAATGGAAAATGGCTATTTATAGTGGATTTTCCCATTAAAAATGGTGATTTTCCATTGCTATGTTAGTTCACCAGAGGGTAATATTACGTAATTATGCTGCTTGTGAGTTGTACGTGTTTTTGAAGCTGGCATGCTGAGGATCCAATGGGGATGAATGGGGGTTCAATAGTGACACCGTCGTTTTCCCATAGATCCGCTCTAAAATGATCTAAAATGCCCACAAAAGGAACTTTTCAATCCGAAGGACATAAATATTTGGGAAGTGATGCATTTTAGATTTCATTACAAGGTGGAGCCCTATATCTATATAATACTATCTATATTATATATATAATATAATATATATGCAGTGAAACCGCTTTCCTGCAAGTTGGCACTAGATTTGCGTTAGTGTGGCGCTAGATACTTTTACAGACATTAAAGTGAAACGTAGTCAGGCCGATGTTTTTTTCCCGCTTGCTTTCTTGCACCTGTTGTTCCCGATCCTGCTTGAGCAGGGGACAACTGGGATGCTCCTCCAAGGAAAGCCTGGGGCAGCTGAGTTTGCTGGGTGTAAAAGGCCTGGGTTGTCCACGGCCAGGACTGTCCCGGGAACGAAGCTGTGAACCCCGGATTTTTATGAAAACTCAAAAGTCCCAAGGTGTTTTTGTAGTTTACCCAAGCAGGACACGTCGGCGTGAAGACCCACAACCCCTGGTGCAGTTGGCAGCAAGGAGTTGTTTTTTATTTCCAGCTGTTTGCTCTGCATACAACTGCAAGTTGTGATAAATGAACGAATCTTTGCACTATGTGTGTGTATGTTAAGAAAGCAATGCTGTTGTAAATGTGGAAGGAAATGAAGATGTGATGATCATGTGATGCAATGTGCAGCAAGCAGATCTCCATGGGTTGACTTCTTGCTTTCAACTGTGATGTATCTATGCATTTGCAGTTTCTTTCAAAACATGAAGCCATGCACGTGCAAATGCCTCACTTAAATTTCCCATCATTTCCGTCACACAATAAACTCACTCATTGTACTGCATTCGTTCAACCCACCTTGGTCAACAGAAGCTGCGTCTCAAACGCGTCCCCAAAAATGTCCTTATGTTCAATAATGTTCAATAATGTTCAATCACCTTTTTTTTGTGGGTCCATTCGCGCGCCACAAACACATTGCTATTTTTTAACTAACTTTATACAACTTTATCGATTCGCTACTCATATTTGGCGCGTTTTGTTGGCATATGGAGGTTTCCTAAAATGGGTGTATTTCAAAATCATGGGTTTCAATATGTGTCAAAACTAAAATGGCCCAATGACTTGTATGATTTGTGGTAACTAATGTAGGTAAAACAATGATAAACCATCCCCCAGTCATCACCATTTTTGTAGGTGGTATGGTTACCATTCCCAGTCATGCGTGGTTTATGGCATTGTTTTACCCACATTATCTGGGTAGGATCATGACAAGTATGATGTTTCACTAACCTGAACTATGACTATAGTGGGATGATTCCCTAAATCCTAACCATCACAAGGTGGTGCCCCCCAGTTATAAGTTGGTTTATAATCCCATTAACTATAGATATATCACCTATATCACCATTAACTATAGATATATTCCCTAAATCCTAACCATCACCTACCCTCTGGTAATTTAACATAGCTATGGAAAATCACCATTTTTAATGGGAAAATCCACTATTAGTGGCCATTTTCAATAGCTATGTTAAATTACCAGAGGGTAACCATCACCTATAGGAAACTGTCACATAATTTGCCCCGGCTGCTCTTCGACCGCCTGGTTGGAGCAAGGAGCGTGAAGCGCTGGGCACAGTGGCTCCCGTTGCTGTCGGTGTCTTGGTAAAAAAAATGGCCCGATTGGATGGGCCATTGGCTTAGTTTTTAAGGACAGAATTACAGGAAACCATCGTTTTAAACCTCAAATATGGGTATATTTATGAAGTTTAAAGGAAAATTGATTCGAAACCATAGTCTCTTTGTATTTAAAAGCCTCAAATATAGGAATATCCTGCAAGGTGGTTTTGCACAGGTTTTTGAGCAGCAACCTAATGGGAAAGGAGCAAAAGATGCGACTTTAAACTTCAACTCTCAATACGAGGCAACATCACCTGTTTGGACAAGTGTTCATGGGTTTGTCCCAGTCAAGAGAGTATCGCCTACAAACAAAAACTGATTATATAGGTATAAACAAAACTGAGGATATAGACATTACTTCACAACCTTGGTTCACGACCAATGTCGGTCCAACCCAGTTGTGGGGCCGAGGTGGGGATTATTTTGTTTCCTCTACTCTTCTCCAGTAGCTTCATCGTGTACCGCATCAGTGATCTTTTCCTGCAACTGGGCATTGCATTGGGCCAGATTTCCAGCAATCAAACTGTCAGGATGGATAACAGGATGGATAGGAACCGGGTATTTTTTTTAGTGACCTCACTGTGATCATTGGAATCATGATTAGGATCCGGGCAATCAGCCTGATTTCATCGAAAATAAACGGTTTTTGGCATGCGACTGACCGTTTCTTTTTTTTTTGGGGGGGGGTAGCTATGGGGCTCCATCCTGGGTGCCTTAGCCCAAGCCGCCGGGCAGACTTGATCTCAGGGCATGGCTTGAGGATTGGCTGTCCAAGCACGTGGCTCGGCCTGACTGTCTGGAGAAGCACAAGACCGCAGTATCTTGGGGCTTCCACTAAAGATACACACACACACAGATATATTAGATAAACACATACATATGGGTGTATATTTATACTTTCTCTCTATAATATATTTATTTCAAATTATATACACACTTGTAGGTTTAATAGTAATATATTGTTTAAGCGAGATCCCATATGACATGAAAAACAGGTCTTATGATGTGTTTTTTTCCTGTCCAGGATGTTGGTTGATTGATCGCTAGATTTTGATCAATCCTCCAAAAACCTGGCGAAGAGTCTGGGCACTCAGGTGGGACAGCCCTGGCAACTGGACCGAAGTTGTGGCACTTTGGCCCTCTTTGGGGTCTATAGCATGATCGGCATGCAGGCGAACGAGGGACTAATGGCGGTTTCTGAAGCGGTTTCTGAAAGGCATCACGTGATCGGGGTAAAGGATGGTTTTTGGGTAACTATTCCTTAATGCGCTTGTTTCGGCTTGGTGAATTATAATTGAACCAGCACGAACCGACCATAAATGGGACATTGACCAAACTATTGGGATACGACCAAAACTCAGTTTCTTGACGTGGTTTCAACTATCCCTGCAGCAACCTCAGAGGCCCTGGTGATTGGCTACTTCCTCTCTGGGCTGTGGACGTTGTATCATGGCTGAAAAGATTGGAGGAGTTTAGTTTGGAAGCGGCCCAAACAAGCTAAGGATTGGTGGTTTCCAGGCACTACCCTCAAAATAGTCCATCAACTTGTTTTAACTGTATAAATCTGATTAAATCATATGATTAAATCTGTATATATATATATATACATATCCATACTCCCCATCTTTCAAAGGGCATAGTGGGACTGGCATGGGCCTTGCAACGTGATCTTTTCCAAGAGACACGCGTTGCAGGCGCCGCGCCGGCCGAGGTACTCCATTCTGGCCGTTCAACTGGGAGATTGGCCCTCTGATCCTCAGATGCTTGTGCCTTGATCTAGTGAAGAGTTTAGTGGCTTTATAACCATAGTTTAACGATATGTTTATAGTTATACCTGGTTATATCTGGTTATATCATATCTCGACTTTGAGGTGGTTCTTACATGTTCTTACCGAGCCATAAATAAGCCCAATTGCACCCCAAGTTTGTTTTGGTGTCATTGTTTATCGTTGATTTGTTGTTTTCCGCATCCAGAATGCACCAAGTGCACCGTATACCCAATTGAAAAGATGATGCTAAGCCACCTTCAGTGGTGTGTAGCACCATGCATATAGCAAAATTAAAAAACAAACATACTAAACAATGATCATACTGATAATAAATGAATATAATAGCCGCATATATTTGGTCATTATGATATGCATGTATATTATATATATATGCACACACACACACACTGTTCTTCTTCGATCGTCGAATGTACGCAGCTCCAGGTAAGGACATTAATTTGTACTTAGCGACTATTAATAATTTGATCCTTGGCGCACAGTGGTCGAGAATAAAAAGTAGACAAACCGTAGAACCGTAGACAAACCATAGACAAATGTAGACAAACCGTAGAACGAACACTAGTTTCCGTAGGAGTAGAACGACTATGAATTTCCGTCGAACGACTATTCATTGATTCCATAGAACCCAGGTAGCCAAAAACCCTTGAAAATTGTGTTTACATGCAGACTAGATTTTGAACCAGTAGCAAACCAATAGCTTTTATCAAATTAATAGTCTTTGGCACCACATACGTCTATTTGATGTGTTTTGGGAGATTAGGGCGTATGTGTATATATATATATTATACACATATTATATATAAATATATATATATTATATATATATATATTATATACATATACAATTTTTTGTGTATGTTCTTGATATACATGTTACATACATATATTTTTCCCTAGCAGCGCCAGGCTCGTCTTATCAGCGCCAAACCTGAGCTGCGGTGGACCTTGAGCATAGCACGTAGATCCTACACGCGATGACCGGGTTCCCGGTGTTAGCCTTCTGAAACACGTAGCGGAAACCTGGGGTAGCCATGCCCATATGCTCCATGTACGGAATATTTACCAACATTTACCCCATAAATGAGCCAAATGTAGGTAAATATATTATACATGGAGCATCTGGGATGAATCGTAGTTCAATGTTGGCTTAATGGTCTTTCATCCATCTTGAATGGGATATTGATGAGATATTCATGGGAGATTAAATGGTAGTGGGATTGCATGGGATATATGATCTAATGTTGGTGTGTGTCCGAAAATGGGATATAGCACCCAAAATAGCAATTTCAATATACTGTAACTTGATAATGGGGAAAATCAATAAACCATTTGATTTAGAGGTACTTTTCAGGCAAGCCGGTGCGCACATTACTTGGATATTTGTATAATCTGTGATTGTGCCAGCAAATTTGGGACCTGATGCAGGAAAGGTGCAGGAAAGGTGATGATATATCCTTTGCCTTGGCCATCAAGTTTCATCAGAATTCTCCCAATGATTCTCAGGGACAAATTGTGTGTTGAGGGTCTTAACTTTGAGCGGCCGGTGATCGTCATCAACAGATGTGGGGCATTTCACGTGCCGAAGATAGGGAGACGACATAATATATGAGATAGCCATTTGCGCGATGGTGATGTTCATGCAAGGCTTTTGCTGTCAATCGTAATCAGTTTACATGGTTTTCTATGCAGTGGTCGTGGTACTGTATGTTTGCGCACATTCTAGTAGGGAATGTGAGTGTGACGAGCTTCCTATAGTTCGGATTCTTAACATTAGTTGGGGATACCCATTTTCGATTTCAACGGGGAAAATGATTATTGACCATGGTGTTTGGGGTATGAAGTTTTGAAAATAAAACGCATCATGTAGTTGCGGAATGAGGTACTTGGGAACCTGGTGTCGTCAGTTTGATGTGGCCAGGTGGCCCTAATTCGACGGCTCCCTGAGGGACGTGTCAAAGATTGCTGCAGACTCATGGCAAGCCGAGTTTAGTAAACCCGGGCTGATTCATTTGCTAAGACGATCCAGGGTTGACACCGCTACTGCTCACCATTTAAGTCATTTCCAGCTGTGATGATCCCTTTCTCTTTGGGACGTTTGGCTTGGGAGGCATGACATCCCCGGATAAGATTCGAATGCGCCAATCCTCGTGTCAAGACCAACATGATGGCGGTGTTTTGTTTTAGAATAATGACAAAAGATGCTGAATTGTCTCTGACATTTTTTTAATCAATCCTTGAAGATGCCACTCTTGCAGCTGAATCCTGGGTCTGTAACCGCAGTCAGATGTGTCATTTTCTAGTTCAACTTGCATTGTTCTATCATGTTCTACCCCAACTTTGTATGCAGTAACCATAGTAACCCCCAACGAGATACTAATCAACTCACCTGGACGGCAGCGATGCAGGTTGGGCGAGCTGAGCACTGGGCTGCGTGAGGAGTTCGAGGGCTGCCTGTTGGATTTAGAGAAGGTGCGCCGCTTGTATGACATGGATATTTAAAGGTACCTAAGGTACCTTGATTTGGAGAATCAGAGGCAGGGTTAAACATATTAGATCATATTTTACTATCATGTCTAAATGATTTGAAATGATTGGAGAAAATGATTGGATGGGAAGAACCATGATGTCAATGGTGAAAAAATGTGAATGAATGATAACGAGTGGTCATTTCATCAAACAACCAAGACCAAGGGCTTCGAAGATCCGGACGTCAGGTGCCTGAAAAGCCGGCAGATTCTGAGGCAGCCAAGTGGTCAGAGGCAGATGGAAATGACAGCAATGAATTGAGGCACAGGCAGGCTGGCCACATAAATCGCCATGGATTTCACCCGCTAGGCCTACATGGGAATTCGGCATTGCAACGAACAACTGGTGCCTTGGACCCGCTTCCATGGTCAGCCAAGAGAATCTCAAATCATATGATTCATATGGCGTTTTTGCAACTAGTAGATTTGGGCAACAAGCGCCAGCTAAACAAAATTGGAACAGTTTGGCATGCTTGTGAGCTTACTCGTGCCAGCTAAACATGACAGTCTCAGGTCCCAACCCGAGGTTGGCGATGACCAGTTGCCATCAAGCCCCAGTGATCACCCGAATATTGCCATCACTGCATGATGAAGTATGTGTGTTGGATGAAAAATAATGTCACCCGATCGATATCTACAACTCCTAACGCAATATATTAAATATATTATCAAATATGCATAGATATGCTATAAATATCTATAAATGCATAGATATGCTATAAGTTCCCATCATATGTTCCACTGGCTGACTCCATGGTTTTTCCATGAGGATTGGTTGCAGGGAAATTGGACAGGCCTTGTGGAATGACAGGAAACCATCGATTTTGCTGGATATGTGCGATAAGCATAGATAAAACATGTTTCATAAAATTGTTGGTATGAGTACGATGAGATATATTACTGTACGATTTAAGTACTATGACTATAGCATATGTTGCCCACATGTTCTCTTTAATTTCCTGGATTTTAAACATTTGAACAATGCGGATATCAAACATATACAGTGTTATTGTACCATGTTGTACCACGTAATTACATGTAAATGTAATTCCTATTGCAATATATTGCAATATATTGTTTCATACCATTCCCACAAATTTGAACAACATATGGGTAACACAATGCCATAAACCACCCATGGGAATGGTTATCTGTCTATACCATATATATGGTGATTTGGGGGATGATTTCTTATTGTTTTACCCACATTAAACAATGGTATGTACCATTTGGTAGACTAATATAACCACGGAAAATCACATGTTTTACTCATTTGTAATAGGGAATCAACTATTTCTATGATATCTATGGTTATATATTATTTTTTGTTTTGCCCACATCATTCAGCTGCTGTTTTTCTGCCGAGGAGTTAAAGATCACCGAGATCCGTGAGAAGATCTCCCAGAAGGACAGCGCAGGGCTGGTCAGCCAGTATGTCTGATTCGTTTCAGAAAGATCCTGGAATTGACAAAGAAATGGTGCGTTGATGGGGTTAACATAAAGGTAGTTTAATTAACCATCAACTCATTAATGATAAACGATGGTTTACATATATATATAATATAATCTTGGATTTGCTTAATTGAAATGATGTTTTTGTTCTTTGTTGTTAACCCACTATGACTTGGGAATCCCAATTTCATCGCCTTGTCCTGTCTGCCATTTGGTATCGGATACCCTAGGGTAAACATCAAAAAAAATGTGGCCAACTTCATGGTTTCCTCGGAACACGACATACACATGGTGAGTTTTCATGAGTTGTCTCTGGTTTAGCAGAGGGTCACGGTGAGTTTTCCATCATTTTCCATCCCAGAGACGGTGAGTTTTCTCGGCTCAGCCCACGGTTTACATCGCTCCACCGCTCCGGTGCCATGTATGGTTGCGTGTATCCCAGCTTCGGGGACGGGTGCTACGGTTTGTTTGCCAATTTGACCAACAAGACTTGGTGTAAAAAGGATCATGGCCTAGGGACAATGAGAAATAATGAGATAGATAATGATATAGATAACTCATGACAACTCAGATACTGAAGGGAATCAAATGGTTTTTCGAGACGAAAATGGGTGGATATCAACCGTGCATGGGATTTTTTGGGTTCGGGGCTAGTACGGGGTGGAGGGGGTAAGAGGCACCTTATTCTCAGCCAGACCCACTTGGGCACAGTGAATGCAGCATCATTTGTGGACCAATGGCGAAACAGTGGAGGATTATATAGGAGGTTCCGAATCCTACCCTCCACCATGATGTTCAATGCATCAAGTGACGCTTCCCCAACAATCTTAACATTGACCGTTACCCTTTGGTAATTTAACATAGCCATGGAAAAAATGCATGTTTTAATAGATAAGGGCCATTTTCATAGCTATCTTAAACGACCTGAGGCTTAGGTACTCATCAGTCTGAGCTTTCAAAGATTCATCACCTGACAGAAGTTCAAGGGTAGTCTTGAAATAAAGGCCATAAATAGTCGATGAGCTCCCCCAATCCTTGATGGCAAAATGTAGTACTTCCATGTTTGTCCCTAGCTGAATGTGTTGGTTCTGCTTTTGAAAGCATCAAATGCTAGTAAAATCGTTCACGACTAACTTCAGTTGTATCATCCCCTTGTGATAACCAAGACATCGTTTTGTTGGAATCCAGATGCCATTCTCAAAAGTTTGATTTATGACCCCTCCAGATTCTAATATCCCATCACTTCAGCATCCTTCAGCTCTGTCCAACACAACTTGCCTATTCTGCCCATGACGTGCCGTAGGAGGCCATCAGCCACACGCTATCCTCCACCCGCACTCTGCTGAGCACGGCCCGTCGGCTGCGCGCTGCGGTGAGCGACGCCGAGTTTGCGGCGCACACGGCGCGGCAGCGAGCGACGGCGGCGCAGACGGCGCGGACGGCGGAGGACGAGGGACTGCTGCGGGAAGCGCTCGCGCGGTTGCGGGGGGAACCGGTGGAACTGCAGGTGTGGGGAGATGTGGGGAGATGGGGAGGGACCCAGGGAAGGTTGGGTTGAGGATCGGGGCTGCTATTGTTTGTCAGTGTAGCAGGATAATCTTGAATTGCTAATTATGCATATTGTGCAATATTGTGCATATATGTATTTATTTTAACTGATGAACACTAGGTGGGCGAGGTCAGCCTTTTTAATTGGGAGAGACGCCGAGAGTCAGCGCGGTCAATGTATTTTTCATACACAAAGAAAGATCAATGTTGGGGGGAATGCAATAGGCTTTAAGAGGCCTGCACCGGCACCGGGAGCTTTATTGAAGCACGGGGTGAAGAGGCGTGCAGTGGTGCCAATACCAACAGACCCATCACAATTCAACGGTGTTTATATATTATACAAACACAACAAGCATCTCCTCAGAAGTCTTGGTCTAGTTTCGGATCTGTTGATCTCTGATGAACAATCATCCCTTCTCCATCAAAAATCAACTAAATCCACCAACATCCTCATGTTTGTCATGCTTAAACAGTGCTAGATCAACTTAAGCATCCATCAACCCCCCTCTTTCCTGCGGGTAAACCCCCACCCTTGTTTCCCTGCCAGGTGGCGAACGCCTTGGCACAGCACGCCGGGCTCCTCCCAGCCGACCAGGAGCCCACACAACCCACAGCTCCGGTGCCGCCGCTGGTGGAGATGACTGAGATGATCCATGAGAAGATGCTGCAGACCGCCATGGTGTCATTTGGAGATGGCACCAGTGTGTTAAACCCCCATGTTGATCTAAAAAACTGACTTAGATGATTAGATGTTTGAGTGGGGAGTTAAGCATTTAAGATCCCCAATGGTGTCTTGAGCATCAGAAATCAAGGATACGTGATAGCTGATGTTTGATTGATGATGTTATAGCCCATATACTATCTGGTTATCGGGGATTATTCGGACATAGCACAGGACATATTATGGGAATCCCGCTCTTAAGCAGCCAGTAAACAGGGATATCAACCTTGGCGGGTAGGATCGGATAAAAGACATCAGGAGAACTCAGTTTGGCAGACGTAGCAGCAAACGTTTTCCCCGTGTTTTTGCTATCTGTTGCCCCCTTCTTTTGGTTGGTAGTAGTAAGATTAGCCCCGACTAAGCGCAGGCACAAACCCACACATCAGGATTTTGCTGCGCTTGTACCTGTATATTGGGGTTTTAGATTTTTAAATGTTTTTCTTCTTCATGCTATCGTGCCAACGGCTTGTTCAGAGGTCGCAAGCCCCACCAGGCACACAAAAAATTGCCCGTGGAAGTTGCCAACATTTTACGTTTGTTTCTGCGATATTTTCAGTGCGCACCGCCCACAGGTACTGTAAGCATTTGCATTACAATCATTACAATACAAATCAACACATTTATCTGAATCAAAACGTATGTATATGTTCGAAATCCACTGGTATGATATCAAGATAAATTGTCAGTCTTACTAAGTAAAGCTGTTTCATATAGCACACACGCAGTATACAGTAATGATATATAATATATGTTATATTGTATATATCTATATGCAATTACATACACACATATAAAATAAGATATTATATAATTGTATATATATATATATATATGTGTGTGTGTGTGATAAAGATATGTGCTTAATCTGTTTTAATGTCCAACACCCCAAAAATCCAATTGGCTTCACCATCGACATCGAGGTCACGGCACCTGGTAGAGCTCGCCTGGATCTCCGAGTCCCAAGAGCCGTTGAGTCAGGGCGGCGTGCTGCCCAGCGTCAGCTCTGACGAGTTGGTGCAGAGTTTGATGGGCGAAGGCGGCGAAGGCGGCGAGGCCCACGGTTGACGGTTTCACCATGTCCCAAATGGGATGTCCCAAAATTGGGATGGACGATGTGAGGCACAAAATGTGGTGGACATCTTCTGTGTTTGCAATTTGCACTGGTTTGATTTCTTTGTTTGGCGTAATGTAGTGAGTTTTTTCGGGGTTGAGGTAGGCAAATCGTTGATTCTTTTTAGTGGTGCCACCTTCCACCAAATTGAAGTGGCTGATTGTCCAAAGAGACGATCTGCAGCCATGCCATTTCGGGCAGGTCAGAGGTCATAGGCCTGGCATCAAAAGAGGGTGGCCGTCATCGTTGAAACCTCCAGGGATAAGTTACCAAACCCCCCGGTTAATCCAACCTGGCTGGGATATCCCCATCAAAAATGGAATATTTTTTCTGCAAGAATCAACTACATAGGGGAATTTCCCAGCCCTGTTGGGCAGTTTTTTTTCCGGGTGGTTGAGCAGCAGTAGTTGGGAGCCAATGCCATCAAAATTCTATCTTGGATTGTTGAGAAGTGAAGCGGCCTTCAAATGGATAAAAATGCCCGGCCAGTTTCAAAAATTGGGGCCCCCAAAAGAGCCATCCAAATCCCTATGGTAGCCCATGATTTTCTCATCATGTTGTCATGTTCCATCTATTTTCCCACCAACTTCCTGCCGGAAGTTGACGATTGATTGGTTGAAGATGTTGAAGGGAACATTGAAACCGGAAAACACCATATTTATTGAGAAAATCTATGGTTTCTGGTTCAGATCGTCCCTTAAACCTATCCATTAAAGCTAACGTTCTCATTGTTAACCACCCAATTCTTGTGATGCGACGAGGAGGATGAGAAGTCGGGCGATTACTATGGCTGGACGTCCACCATGGACCTGGGTCCGATCAAGTACAAAGGACGGGTCGCCGTGTCTATGGGATACGGGGAGTTCATGGCATGTAATACCAATAAAATGAGAAGCTTGTTTTCACGGGCTTGGTTTTTAATGGGGAAAATGAGGATTAACGGATTGACCAGTGGATTTGCAACCCACGCGGTAGGGAAGCATGGTCGATCCGCAAGATGATGTGGTGATCCCTAAACATTGTGGCATAGTCACACAGGGCCGAGGGACTTTTAGAAATCGTATAAGCATCCCATTGGAAATAATGTTACCCTGTCAGGAAGTTCCAAGCATCGATCCTTCATGATTCATGATCCCAAGAGATAGAGCATTCGATGATTGAATCATGACGCAAGAGGACTTTATTCCACCAACGATAGTGGTTTCATTGGTGTAAGGGAACAATTAGAGGAAACCCCTTTATACTATTTCATACTATTTCATAGGGAAAAAAACATGGTTTCCTGTAGAGTTTCCATTAAATCCAACCCAATGATGGTGCCACATGGTTCCTTACGGCGACCCAAAGCTCTGCGTATCGCAGGAATCAAATTCACCGATATCCAGCTGGATCGTTACAATCGCGAGAAGGTGCGAATTTCTGATGGGTTTGAATTTCATTGAAATAAAGATAGAGAAGTGAAGTGTAACGTAGAAAAGTAAAATCCTACAAACATAGTGGTAACTTCACATTTAACAACAAGTACTTGTTCTATCTTTTTTGGATTGCTATATATAATCCTCTTCAAGCAAAATAGATTAATAGCATACAGCCACCGCCGACCAGTTGCTTGGGATGATGATCTCATTTAGTCCGATGGGTGAACACCTATGACCATATTTGGGACATCCGGGTGAATTTGGGTGATTTTTGATGTTTATTACATGTTATTACCATTATTAGCTGGTGATTACCATATTTGGACGAATAAACAGCACTAAGTTTTTACTACCATCACTAAGTCACTAAGTGATAACCAATTGATATTTTTAACTGGTTTATTACCATCACTAAGTCACGAACCAGTTTTTTTAGAGTACAATCCGGGTGCCGGAAATGGTGTTCAAATCCGCCCGGCTTCAGGGATCATCCTTCTATTTCCTGGAGCTACAGATGTGGGGGGCGGTGGATGATGGGAAAACCGGTGGGGAAAACGTTTATTTTTTTGGGGTGGGATATATTGACAGGTGTCATTATTGACCTTATTTTATCTTAGACAGGCTTTATTTTGGTCAGTTACCTTGTTGGAACGAGATGAAGAATCACATAAAATAGCTGGTATTCAGTAGGATATGGATCAGCTTGCGGGGAAAAACAGTTCAGACTTGGAAGCCACTTGCTCAGCTGGCCTAGTTGGGACCCCACTTGGTAAGAAGGTGCCCAGTTTACAACCCCACGTATTTGTGGAGTAACCCTGCCGATCCCACAAAAATCACCAGGGATATGACCTATACAAAAACATCCACCAAGCAGCACCCAAGTAGCAAACAGAACCAGTGGATTTTGGGCTGCCGGAACCAAGGCCCTTGGGACTTCAACTGGAAGAAGTGGAGGTAGATGGTGTGGGCACCGTGATTCAGGCCCTCTTGTGGCCGTGAATTTCTAGAGATCTTGTGCCGCTGCACCAGGTCGTGAAAGCAAAGTTTGTGCAAAAAAACATAGGTTCACTGTTAGATCTATGGTGATTAGGACTAGACGGGTTTATACACCAACTTATCACTGGAGGGTCCTTAGTAGAAATCGTGACCTTAAGCCACTGTGAGATTTACATAAGTGGCAAAATATGGTTCAACTTTGGTGAAGGATTTGGCCATAAAATGCTGGCGCCCCCATGTTCATAAGTAAAGCATGATAACCTTTCGTTTGTGTGACAGCCGAGTGAATATGTTATTTAGCCAGGTAACACACCATGAACATCTTATATAGATTATCATATATATGCCCTACTTAAAGGTTAACAGGTACACAAATGCATCAACATGATTCTAATGAGATAAATCGCCATAGAAACACGCCAAATCGGTTGCCATGTTAACTAATTTTAATTACCTTTAGCATTTTTGGCCATATCATTAACAAAGTATATATAGTTCCAAAATGTGGGTAAACTGATTAGTTTTAAATTTGAATTCACTACTTACATGCATTCAAGGTTGGCCATCGAAACACCCTGGGCGGCCAAAAAAACGTTCCGTTGGTAGGTAACAGAGATCGTGGATGGTGGCAGCGCGAAGGAAGACAAAAGCATTCGTTGCTCGGTGTTCGTCGTCAAAAACAAGTAAGGTACCCGCTGGTAATTCAACGTAGCTATGGCAGCTATGGAAAATCACCAAAATCAATAGGTAAATCATCTATAACTAGGCCATGTTCCGTAGCTATGTTAAATTACCGGCGGGTAACCAAGAAATGTGTGTGTTTTGTGTGGTAAACTAATGGGACGGCATAATCGAAGGAAGTTTAGAAGTCAAACTTCCGACAATATGGACAGATGAAAAGCAGAGTAGGGGAGAGGCAGAGAGAAGAGGAAGATTAGAAGAGAGAAGATGAGAAGAGAAAGAGTCAGAAGAAAGAAGATACAGATGCGCGAAAAGGTAGGAAAGTCGCGAAACACTGTGTTTTTCCAATGATTTGTGGCTCAGGAGGGTCGAAAAGTAGGCTCGCTAAAGCGGCGGGTGCGGAGCCAGCTGGTCACAGGAGCGATGAAAAATTGCACGCCGTTGTGGCGCGAAGCACATTTCCAAGTCAAAAGGTACAAAACACCTCAGCGTCGGACGACTTTTGGAAGTTGCGATGTCGAAAAAGTGCACGCCGTTGTGGCGCGAAGCACATTTCCAAGTCAAAATGATTCAAAATGTACAAAACACCTCAGCGTCGGACGACTTTTGGAAGTTGCGATGTCGAAAAAAGTGCACGCCGTTGTGGCGCGAAGCACATTTCCAAGTCAAAATGTACAAACACCTCAGCTTCGGAATCTTCGGACCACTTTTGGAAGTTGAGATGTCGAAAAAGTGCACGCCGTTGTGGCGCGAAGCACATTTCCAAGTCAAAAGTGTTAAAAACTGGCGGTCTCGGACCATTTTTGGAAGTTGAGATGTCGAAAAAGTGTCGAAAAAGTGCACGCCGTTGTGGCGCGAAGCACATTTCGAAGTCAAAAGTGTAAACAACTGAGGGTTTTGAGCCTTTTTTGACGTGAAGATGTCGAAAAAGTAGACATTGATTAACTTAACTAACTTGACAAACTTAACTAACTTCACTAACTTAACTACCCTAACTTCGACGACAACAGCAACAGCAACAGCAACAACAACAACAACACCAACAACACCAACCACAACCACAACAACAACAACACCAACCACAACAACTACAACAACTACAACAACTACAACTACAACAACTACACGACAACTACAACTAGAACTACAGCTACAACAACTACTACAACAACAACAGCAACAACAACAACAACAGCAACAAGAACAACTACAACTACAACAACTACAACTACAACAACTACACGACAACTACAACTACAACAACTACAGCTACAACAACAACAACAACAACAACTACTACTACTACTTCTACTACTACTACTACAACTACTACTACAACAACAACAACAACTACTACTACTACTACTTCTACTACTACTTCTACTACTACTACTACTACAGCAACAACAACAACTACAACTACAACAACTACAACAACAACAACAACAACTACTACTACTACTACAACACTACACAACAACTACAACCACACAACAACTACAGCTACAACAACAACAACAACAACTACAACTACAACAACTACAACTACAACTACAAAACAACTACGTCTACAACTATATGACTGCAACTACACTACACTAATTACATTACACCACAACTACAACTCCACTACGCTACAACTACAACTACAGTTGCAGTACATCACACTACATCCAGCAGTTGTGGGTGAGGTGACCACTGCAAGCATTGCAACCATTCCAGCAAACACAACTCCAACCACCTTTCGGTCAATCAGTGGATTCGCTCTGCCATCCGTGATTCACAACAACCAACGTCTCCTATAGGTTTCCTATTCTGAAACTTCCGCCACCGCCTTGTGCGGTACTACTGGTATGATATAATATATAATCATTATAATCCAAAATGGTTTCTGATTCAGCCAGAAAGTTGCGAGTGAATTAGACAAACAAACGTGCATTTCACGGGCCAACATGAGGATTCAAGCCAAAACAGCAGGGGATTGAAGTCGGCTATGTCTCAATTTCTCATCTGGGATGGAAATCCCGATCGACCAAGAAATCCATTGATATCTACGGCACGTTTTTTTGGTTTGACAATAGGGTATTCTAACATGCATGGTCTATCATCACTTCGCGCATCTTCGATTAAACTGGATATTTGAAGGCTTACCCAATTTTCAGACACAACCATTCTTTGGTGTGTTACAACAATATCAAACATCTTACCCTCTGGGAAACTATCATGGCTATGGAAAATCACATTTTTTTTCGGTAAATCAACGATACATGGGCCATTTTCCATAGCTATGTTGAATTACTAGAGGGTGATCATAGGGGTATAGGAGGTGCCGGAATTGTAGAACGGAAGTTGAGGAGTACGAAGGTACGGTTATTTACCGTACCCTCTTGTTCTATAATCTGTTTTCCTCGGAAGGTGTGAAAAAAAAGATAAAAAACGTATCTGAATTTACTCCTAACTTTTTTCGTCGTTCTATAATTCTTGCCGGAGCGCTGCTGTTCTATAATTATGTTTTCCCCCATTTTTCTCACATTTCCCATTTTCGTTCTATAATTAATGTTTCCCGGGCCCCGTTCTATAATTAATTTTTCCGTCGAACGGAAAAATTAATTATAGAACGGAAAAATTAATTATAGAATTATAGAACCTCTTCCGGGGTCCCAGAAATCCTACAAAATCACCATGAAATCTAAGAAAATCACTGTGAAATCCCATAAAATCACCATGAAATCCCATAAAATCACCATGAAATCCCATAAAAACACCATGAAATCCCATAAAATCACGATGAAATCCCATAAAATCACGATGAAATCCCACAAAAACAACATGAAATCTCAGAACATCACCATGAAATCCCATAAAATCACCATGAAATCTCAGAAAATCACCATGAAATCTAAGAAAATCACCTGGTAAATGTGGGAAAAATAAGGGAAAACAGAATTATAGAACGGAAGTTGAGGAGTACGAAGGTACGGTTATTTACCGTACCCTGTTGTTCTATAATTCTGTTTTCCTCGGAAGGTATGAAAAAAAACGTATCTGAATTTATTCATTAAATCTTCATTTTATAGATTGTATATGTGCAAATATGCAGTAAATATCAAGTCAGTGCCAGAAATTATAGAACGGGGACATTTAATTATAGAACGGGGAAATTTAATTATAGAACGGATCCCCGTTCTATAATTAAATTTCCCGACTCCGCTTTGAATCGGAACCCGGAGGAGTACAAAGGTACGGTATTTTACCGTACTTTTGTACTCCTGGCTCCGTTCTATAATTCTGGCACCACCTGTACTAATATTGCCCAACAAATGGATGATCCATAGATAGTTCATGGATCGCAAAATGCCACACTCTAAAGTCATAAACTTGCCTTATAAGGGGTCCTTGCAACCCACTTATAAATATCATGAACCCAACGATTGATCATGGGAAAAATGTTACACGGTTCCGCGGGCCATCCCTTGGAACCTTTGGAGCCGAGGTGTTGGTGACTACCTCCGCGCAGTTACCACGCCACAAAGGAAGTTAAGTGGCGAGGAGGGTGAAGAAGGCGCCGTTTTTGGGCCATGTTTTTCCTTTTTTGGGGGGACGTAATGGTTAATGATTTAAGGGAGAGATAGTACCAGGACATGAGTGGGATATTATTTGTGGGTAGCCTAGTCCCTGTAACAGTGGAAAAATGGTTTTTAATTATAACTACCACCCCAGGGGGAGCACAAGCAAATCCCGTTTTTTCAAAACTAGCTTTTGCAACTTCTAAAAGTAAAAGTAAGGACCTGACAACTAAGACAGCAAAGTTTTTATTTTCTTCAAATCAGCACCTGTGGAAACACTAAATTCAGAACAACCTGTGGGAACACTAAATTCCAGTATGTTAGACCCAAGGTTTTTCTGATTCTAGTGTTTCCACAGGTGTTGACTTAAGAAAACCAAAAATTGCCTTATTATTTAATATTATCCTACAATTTCTATATATATATATATGTTATTATCCACTTTTGGGGGGATGTACCCTCCAGAAACCCAACGTAGATGTGAAAAATCAGCCATTTGTAGACTCTTTTCCTGAGGAAACTATGAGTGGAAACTATGAGTGTTCCACATCTTTCTGTATGTTTACCCTAGTTTAATTCTTAATAATGATTTAAGGGCGTATTAATTTAAAGTATATAAATTAAATTGGGATGTAAGACGAATGAAGCTTATCCAGCCCCAAAAAAGTTAAATACATTCGAATGCCACCCAATTCTTTTTCGCCCCCCCCTCTGTATGAATAGATCCAATTCCAATACTCAAAACCAGGGTGTCAAACGTACAACGGTTGTGATGGGATATGATGGGATTCATGGAGATCACTGAGTTTGTCCAGGGATGGGGAGTTTGATGTTGGCTGAATGACATCCACGTGTTTACACATAACGGACATGGCTAACATTGACATGGCTGAATCCCATGACCGGAATGATTTCTGAAAATCGGCAGCTTCAGCTGCGGAAAATCACGGAAGGCATCATGCCTGATTGGTGGTGCAGAACCAGATATACGTGCTCACATGTTTTGGACCTCTCAAACTTTTTCTTGCAACACAAAATATATTGGAACAATACCAACCATCCCCAAATGATGGGTTTATGGCATTGGGTTTATCACATCGTTTCCAATGATCCGATAATGATCCATCAATTCTCCACCAATCATCCACTATTGTTCGCTATCCCCAAATTTTTAACCATTGATTGACCATTAATTCACCATTAGAACCAACATTGAACCACTATGAATCACTCTTAATCAATTATTAATCACTATTAACGACTATAATGATGTGGGGAAAAGTCTTATTAAATGGCTACTGTAGTGTCTCAGTGTTTATTGATCGACCATTATTTAACCACTACTATTGGGTTGATCAGATTCGAATTAAATGGATATCAATTAGCCATTAACATCCATTAACCCTTTTGCTTAACCATTGGGTTTTTGAACAACCATTAATTATATAACCATTACTATCAATATAATATTATCAATTTAACCATGAATTTAACCATGAATTTAACCATTTATTTAACCATTTATTTAACCATGAGAAATATCCCACATGGATCCCCGCGCCGGAGAATCCCACGGAGACCGGATCACTTCGGAGGTGACATCACGGAGACCTTCGGAGCCAGCGCCGGGGAGCAGACGAAGGTGTCACACGGCAAAAAAGATACGGTGATTTTGGTCAATCCCATAGGATCCATGTATGGTATATATACTAACATAAAGGGGGTATATTGATGGTAAATGTTACCATATATATCCATATATAGCATACATGGATCCTATGGGAATGAACCAATAAAGAGGACTGGTTGGTGGTTTGGTCAATTTCCATCATACCTATTTGATATATTATGTAATATCATCATATCTATTTGGTTGGCGGTTTCAAACATGAATTTCATTTTCCATCATATATGGGATGTCATCCTTCCCATTGACGAACTCATATTTTTCAAGATGGTTCAAACCACCAACCAGAATAAAAATGATGAACATTACGCCAGAATTCATGGTTGAATGGTGCGCCCTTTGATTTTCAGAAAGCTACCGTTGAATGTTGGTTATCATGATTAATCATTGGTCAATCATGGGGTATAACTAACAATAGTGGATGATGAACGGATAATTGGATCATTGGAATAATGTGGGAAACCCAATGATATATACACATATACATATATATATATGTTTGGGGATGGTTCCTTTATTTTCCAATCACCCATGAAAATGGTGATGAATTGGGGATGGTGCAAATGACATTCCGTGAAACCCACATTAGAAATTAAAACTTGCAATTTTAATGTAAAAGGAATTGTGCGCCAACAAATCTTGAAACTGATGGCATGTGTTGAAATGTCATTTTTTTTTGGCACGTATAGTTATGAAGTAAAAGACATTTGAGTCCTTCGATGTTTCAACAAATGCAATGACGGGTTCATTTTCATGGCTGGTAGACTCATGGTCACTCATGTGAGGCCAGTCACGGACTCAGGATTTTATCCAATCGCAATGCGGTGAACATGCAGTGAACCAGTGAACCACTTCTTATGTCATAGATGTTTGTGACATCCCGTTAATTGTGCCATAAATGATAATTGCCCGTGGCGCGAGGGCTCATGCTACAAAAAGTATCGATGTATGTTCCCATTTGTTCTTCCGCGTTCTCTAGCCAGATTCGGAGAAAAAGAACATATTACCCGCAGTGGCCCAACAAACCTACGTCATGCTTCCTAGATTTGATCTGGTTTGATCCCATGTATCATTTTTACTATATTTCATATACTGATGCTTCAAGACCTAAAACACATTCACAATGGACGGTTTGCACCAGTTGGCCCTGGGATTGTTTTGCGTAGGCGGTGCTGGTCATTCCTCGTGGTTTTCCCTTTCAGCGGGTGGGCGCTCAGTGTGGAGTGATGGCGTGCAGCCATGGAAAGAGTGTACTACGACAGTTGCAGGGAAGGAAACAACTCCCAAATATGTTGGTAGAGTCTCCAATTTCTTTGATGCAAAACATGCAAACACATACAAAAACATCATTATAAAAAAAAACAAGTCCCAAAAGGCAACATGATGTTCTCATATTTTCTCCATTTGTTGGTCAAATTTCCATCATCCCCAGGTGCCCCTACTGGGTGTGTTGCTGCCTTCCATTGCAGCGCCACTGCTTTGGAGGTGATGGACGAAATTTCGGAGAACAAAAAACTCGACGGTTCGGGTGCCCATGGTTATCTAACTATGGTGCAGCAGTGCCCATGCTACGTGTTTCACTGTTTCACATCTCCAAGATCTAAGCAATTTTTTGTTTGGGGGGAGAAACATTTGGATTATTTTTCCATATGTTGGGAATCATAATCCCAACTGACTTTCATAATTTTCCATATGTTGGGAATAGTAATCCCAACTGACTTTCATATTTTTCAGAGGGGTAGGTATACCATCAACCAGTTTATATAATTCAATGAAGCGGAAGATCGTTTTGAATCTGGCTCCCCCGGCCGTGAGGCTATGCAGGGTTGGTCTTTGAACGGCCCTTTGTGGAGGATGAATGATGAATGATTTGGGGATGGGTCAAGTTATCTATGAAATTACCATATGACTGGAGAATAAACATCCAGCTATATCAACTGTTTTGGTGTAGGGTACCAGGGTTTTGACTTGACCCATAACCATTTCAAACTCTTTGGAATGGGTGGATCCAAGCATGGGAACTGTCCAATGCCGTACCTTTGTTTTTCCTCTTTGTTTGACATGTGACAGATCCCGGCTATCCAGCTGATTCCCATCCCCGATGTGGCAGCTGGTGATGAGCAAGCGCATAAAATGATTCAAGTGAAACAAGGAAAACAGGGGGAAACCGCAATGCTGGGATGATATAAACTTTTAGGTTTAAACCTTAGAAAACAGTCATCCATTTTACTTTTCCGCCCTTAGGTCGGCATGATTGACCTAAATTGACAGATTTTTGTAGATTCTTAAGACGGGAGGCTCAGTCAGCGTGTAGAAGAGGCAGTCATTTTTGCCTTTCAGCCCAAGTTTCTGCAATCTAAAATGCGGGCATGTTCGTTTCTCCCACAAATTGTCAGTCTGAGCGTGTCAGAACTGGGTCAATTTGAAGCACCCAGCATTGAAGTGGAAAGTTGATGAGAATTGAGGAGTTGATAGAAAGGTATTAGGGTTGAAACACTGTTTGTTGAGAGATGCTTTTGCTGCACCTTTGAAGATTAATGTTAATTTATGATTAATCTAAAGGGGGTCCCTGGGTCCCCCCCCCTAAATAGACTTCTAGCCACCATCAAACTTGTTTGTATATATTGGTTTTCAACTACCACAATTTAAAATGAAATATAAAATGCAATTTTAAAAAAATGGGAATCCAACAATTGTTTTAGTATTGATTTAGTATTCATTTCATGGATTTAGTAGCAAATCTGGGTTTAGGGCCAAAACAAATTAGCTTTATTTCGGGGTCATTTATTATTTAGTTTGGGAGTTTGGTTAGCTTTACTTAGTGTGAGTTTAATCATCGTAGGTGAACATTATCACTCCATGGTTTGCTCCTTTGAAGGTACCCACGACATCCCAGGACATCCCAAGCCCGATGCTGAGAGAAGTCCATTCTCAAATCCCAACCGACCCCATGATTTTTTTCCGCTTCGGTATTTTTAGATTCAACAGCGGTCCGGGACCGGCAGCATTTGCTGCCTTTGAAGTCGCAGTCTTTTACAGACAGAAAGAGAATGCGCTGCAGAGTCTCCACAGATTGGAGTGGTGAAAGTGGCAACAACATAATATAAGAATGTCACAAACTGACTGGACCCGATTTGCAATACTATGCAATAATCATTAGTATCAGATTATTATCAATGATGATACTGGGATTATAGGTCGTCATTGATAATCATAATCATAAGTGATAACCATCATGTTTCTAATCCCAGCGATAATCATAATTAATCATCATTGATACTCATCATATATGATGGCTTGTCATAAATCATCATAAGTCCCTCCCCCCTCATGGGCAAACCCTTAGCCTCCCATCTGGCTTTATTCACTCCTCGCAGGTGAATGCAGCCTGCTGGTGGAAGAAAAACAGATGTGCAATCGAGTGGGTGATGATATGTGATGATGGATTTCAAGTGTTGGTGTAATTAATGTAGACAACTTGATAGCCCCCAAATAGACCGCAAAAACAAATTCCAGTACCATGAATTATCTTAGTAGGAATTTACTTGTCTATCCTTTTTAAGGGTGGTTGTAGTAGGAAATTTGAGCGAGATGGGCCAGTCATACAATAAGGCCAACTCTTACAATATGCTTTATAACTTATTCGCGAGGTTACAACCCAATTTGCTTACCCAGTCATAAGATGCTTCGGACGAAACACAACTGGTCTCCTGCTAGATGACATGTCCTCACTACTGCCACAAAAGGAATTGTCGTGAATTCGTTACATGCCACTGCGCATAGCATTTACTGGAACGCAAGAATCTACAATTCAATAGCCATGAAACATGTTGTACGCCTGTAATTCTGAAAGACAGCACGTTTCCCTATAACCCCAGGTCTTGAAAACAGGCCCAGGGCCCTCCAAAGAACTGGGACCTTGGCATCGCTTCAAATCGCTTCCTGGGCTTTGTCCAAAAGCCACAAATTTGGAGAATACCAGGAGAATACCACATTTCTTTTTCCGATGTTTTCCCATATTTGGGATTTCCCAGGCAGCCCAGGCACCATCTAAACTTCACCATGACAGTCATGACATCGACCAACCCTTCGAATCCAAACGCAGCCGAGCCGCTCAAAGCTCCCGCCATGTCCTTGATGTCACTGCTTGGTGGCCCTGATGACTTCCCCTTGGTCCCAGCAATGATGTTTGACCATTTTTGACGCTGCTCACTAGATTGTATACTTATCATGTTATATCATATATATATATATAAACTGTATGTATGTATATATATATACTGTTTGTATGTATAATATACTGGTTGGTGGTCTCAAACATTTTTTGTTTTCCATCATATACTGTGGGATAATCCTTTCCATTGACTAATATTTTTCAAGATGGTTTAAACCACCAACCAGTATATACTATATACTGTGTATATAATTATATATATATACATACACGTGATTCTGATATATGTTGTTCTGATTTGCAACCATCATGTTTGTGTTTTTGGACTATTTTGCGCAGATATGTAGGGGTTGTGTATGATTGTTTGCTTATAGCTTCCAACAGTACCCCTTGAAGGGTTGATGGATGTGTTCTCCATCATTTATTCTTGTTAATATGTATGCATATATGCCCTCCGGAGGTTGGCAAGGACTACATTTGATACCAATAATATCCACTAACACGAATACATATGGATATATGTAGTGAACAATATTTATATAATATATATATATATATACAACAAGTATGTCTACTAATATGTGAATCTATATTTTATACTTTACATATGGTTCTATTTTTTGTATCAGTAAAAAACCCCGCATCTCCATCCGAACATCCTGAGGCCAAAGAGTACGCCCTCGACCCCGCGAAGCGGGGGAGGCCACACTGTCCCGGGCCGGAGGGCGGACGACTGATCCTCCATGGGCTGTTGACCTGGGTGACATTCATACTTATATATGTATATATATAGCAATATATAGCTATACATATAATTATAGCAAATAATACATAGATTTATATTCTTTAGTAACTTCAGTATGTATGAGTGAGTGAATAAACATGAATAATTTTGTGCATTGTTTACATTTTACTGTATATATCAATTATAGATAGACAATATTTAGATTTTATTTTTGATGGTTCCAAAAATAGTACCAATGGCAAAAAACATGGCCCATCTCGTGAGGCAGCCGAACGCCCATTTGGACGGAGGAAGATGGGCTTGGATGGGGACGCGTCGTGCCGGCGGCAAGTGCTTGCCCCGAAGAAAGTTCTGCAATGATGTTTTCAATGCAAGATATGCAAGAAATCTGGGAACAATGTTTAAAAATCAGATTATTCAAAATGTAATGATAGCAATTTGGCTAGTCTCTTGGAGATGGCGATGGAGAGAGATTTAGCCAAAGTTCTACTTCATACTTTTCATGTAAAATGTTTTGTAGCTTTCGAATCCCAGGCTTCAAAAGGAGTTGAAATGAGCAGTCGCCAGTCGCCAAATCCATGACGACTTTGCATATCAGATGCTGCCCCAGGTGTTGCAGTGAGCTTCAGCTGATTCATCCCGGAAATCAAACATGGCTTGCCGGAAAATCCCCCAGTTCAATGAATATCCCTATTCAAACCTCAGCTGATTGGTGGTTTGGAAGATGGCTTTTATGACTTTCCATATATTGGGAATTTCATCATCCCAACTGACTTTCATATTTTTCAGAGGGGTAGGTCAACCACCAACCAGTCAATTAAACATCATTAACCATCATTAATCACTATTAATCACCATTAATCACCATTAACCACCGTTAATCACCAACCAGACAATGGGATGTTCCACTGCTGTGTTTCATTACGGGGTACCAAAAACAGGACTCAGCTCGATGGCTAGCAGCGGAACTGCGTGCCGAGCACGGCAGCCGAGAGTCGGACGGTTGTCTCGGGTCATAGGGGCTTTCCCATGCACCAGAATTCATTATGGAAAAAACTACGGTGGATACATCGCCATAGGTGGATAAGTATTTAAATATATAATTAATAATATTATATATTTATTTATATATATATATGTATTGTGAATACTATATATATGTATATATCTATGTATAGTGTGACATATGTGTGTGTACACACACGTGATATATCTACAAGGAGAACCCCCTACTTATAACTTGACTTATAACCAGGGTTAACATATGTTATAACTAGGGTTATCTCATGTTATAAATTCCATAACTTATGTTAAACTTATATCTTAGTTATGGACTTATAAGGTAACTTGTATCTTTTAAGTGGAAAGATACTAAAAAGATACAAAAAAGTTAGCAAAGTTAACTTTTTTATTTTCAACTTTTGAAAGTTAGCTCGGTTTGCCATTTTTGCTTCATTTTGTGATCTTTTGCTGCGTGTGGTTCAAATTTAGCGTTTCTTCTCAGTTTTGGCGAGCTCTTCGGGTTTTTGGGGTCTTTTTGCCATGCAAGGGGCGGGTCTGCTTCAAGCTGCTTCTGAGCAGCCTCGGGCTCAAATAGCTGCTTCTGAGCAGCCTCGGGCTCAAATGCAACAGTGGGCACGCTTTCCTCTGTGTTTTCACATGTGTCCTCGTGTTTTTGTTGATTGATATGCTATGTCGGGGATGTATTTTTAATGTATTTTTTTATTTTTTTGTATTTTTTTGTATTTTTTCACACATGATAACATCTCAAAAAAAAAACGCGTATGTATGTTGCTTTCAAAGCAAAAGAAAACCCAAAAACTCGTATGTATATTCCTTTAGAGTTAAGGAAACGCGTTTGTATATTGTACTTTGAAAGCCCCGGAAGCAAATGTACCAATGTATTTTTCCACAAAGCACTGAAGACTATAGAAAAATGAACAAGATTCTCCCCAACTTTTGCACTCTCAAGACAGAGTTGTGGGTGCGCAGTCAAACGGCTCGCTGCTGTAACTTTTGCCCTCCTTGTTTTGAATCATATATATAGCTACTCCGGCTGAAGATATGGCTACTCCTGCTGAAGATACTCTTGCGAGAGAGATCGAAGCTGACCGTTGCCCTGCTGGCCAAGCGGAAAAAAGAGGTGAAATCGCTGCAATTTGACAACTCCACGAAAAAAAAAACAAAAAAAATGTTTTTCCTCGAAATGAAAAAAATGCAAAACTAAAAAGATACAAAAAAGATAGCAAAGTTATAACTTACTTATATCCACCCTTAACTTAACTTAACATAACTTCAACATAACTTCCTTAACTTAATTTATAACATGCACAACTTCAACATAACTTGGGGGCGTCTCCTTGTATATCTATATTATGATTATATAATTTATATCAATGGATGGGTCTCAGGGGGAAATCTTATCCGGAAACCATCGGTATTTTCCCAAGAAAAAAAGGGGCTTTCCGGTAAATTGTCCCTTAACCAAACCCATTGCTTTTTATAATGTATACCATCTGGTTATGACTAACATAACCATGGAAAATGGCCCATTTATAGTGGATTTTCCCATTAAAACCTCCATTTATGAGGGATTTTCCATGCCGAACTGTTAAATAACCAGACGGTATATCTCACCTTATGTGGCCAGGCGCCAGGCGATGCAGGCAATGCTCCTGGCGCGTCACGAGGCGTTGCTGAAGACATTGGTGACCAACCAGGCCGATTAAATCACCTGGACGATGGGGATCGAACGCAAGTTTTTTCATTGGATTTTATCGTGATTTAATGGGATATTATTGTGGTTTAATGGGATTTGATAGGGGTTTCCACTAGATTTGATGATTTTTAAACTGGGATTTTGAGATTTGATGAAGTTTATCGTTTTTTTTGTACTTAACGGGATTAACAACCGACCACCAAAGGGATATAAACCATCAAAAAGACAATCTTTAATTGGATTTAATGGGATATAGAACCAAGCGAAATATGGATATAATCCGTTAATTACAAAACTTGGGATTTAATGGGATGTTATGTTACACAGATGGAATATTAATGGGATTTGGCCTATTGTTGTGATTAAAAATTGCGTGCAATGGGATTTTCATAACCAACCATCATAGAAATATAACTTACCAACATAGGGATAGTAATCATCATTAGGATCTAAACCATCAACAAATTTGGGAGGGATTCGATGCAATTTGTCCATTTTTTCTGGGAATGTTGGTGGGAATGTTGGTGGGAATATCAGTGGAAAAAAGGGATACCATTGCCATCTGAATAATGGGGTGTATACCTAATGGGATGTTTATGGATGCTAATGAATATGAATGGATAACTAATGGGATATTGAATATTAATGACTTACTGTGTAGGAGATTGCCCAAGAATAATAGGAATATACTGTCCAGTAATCAAATATAGCAATCATTTGCAGTCCCTTATAAATGGGTTCATAGCTGGAAAATCCAAGATAAATTGGAGATTTTCCATTGCCACTTTTGATTACCTGAAGATATAACCGAGGACAATAAGGATGTAATCATCATCCAGAATGGGGATGTCACCAAGAATTTTTTAGGGACGTCACCAGGAATATTGGGATAGTCAATGATTGGTTTAAGGGGAAATCTACAGGAAACCCTGGTTTTTACCTTCAAATATAGGGCTTTCCTGTAAATTTTCCCATCATCCAATTCTATGAGATAGATGACGAAGCATAATAGCGATGCGTCCCATGATTTTTGTCGCCGACCGGCCAGACAACACGTGGGCACGTGGGTATTGCTTTGCTCCGCAGGATCCACCGACGATTTTGGAAGCGCCCAAATGTGGCAGCCCTTTCCAAGTTCCTTGGTGCTAGGTCTTCCAAGAGTCTTTTTGTATGACTTGGGAGTGTTCTGAGGTGGTGAAAGATTGACACCCTAGCTTCAGGATCCAAGATTAAGCTTCCAATGTTTTGATATGCATTGGGTGTCTTGTTTATGCGGGTTAGTCACGCCCGGCTCCCACCAAACAGAAATGAACTTTTTATAAGTTGACCACCCTTCGTGGACCCTCGAATTCGCTTCATGCTTAGCACGAAAAGCGGCATAGAAACGTCCCAAAAGGGAACGCAACAAACTACAAAAGAAACAAAAAGAAACACGAGCCAGAGATAACCAACCACCAGGTAGTGCCGGCCGTGCCGGGACGGAAGTTTCGAAAAAATAAATCTGGCTATAAGGCTATAAGACATTATGGCCTATAGGAAAGTATTTAAGATGCAGAAGCAATGAAGTGGTAAAGTTGCAAGGTGAGGTACATCAACGGATGAGCACATGGTGGCTGAGATTAAATAACACGAGCAAATCCACGCACAACTGACAGAATGAACCAATGAATCAATGAACCAATGAATCAATGAATCAAGGAACCAATGAATCAATGAATCAAGGAACCAATGAATCAATAAACCAGTGAATCAGTGAGTCAAGGAAACAATTAATCAATGAATCAATGCAGAAAATCAACCGACAAATCACTGAACCAATGAGTCAACGTATCAAACAAACAACGAAGCAGCGAATCAACGAATCAAGGAATGAATCAACTGAACCAACTAAAAAAGGAACACCATTTAATGAATCACTGAATCAATGAACAGGTGAATCAGTCAACAAATGAAAGAATGAATCGATGAATCCATAAATCAATGAACTGATGAATCAATCAAGCAACCAAGCAATGAACCAATGAATCAGTGATTCAGTGAATCATTGAAGCAACGAATCAATGAATCACGGAGTAAAACAATCAATGAAGCAACGAAGCAATGAATCAAGGAATCAATGAATCAAGTAAACAGTGAATGAACGAATGAATGGATCTGTGGGTGGGTGACTGATTGGGTGTATGGATGGGTGAGCTTCTTCTTTGTTGAATTGCTTCTTCAATGAGCGACCTCTTCGCTGAGGTACCTCTTCTCTCAGTTACTTCTTCTTTGAGCAGCCTCTTATTTGCTACCTCTTCTGAAGCTTCTGCAACCTAATCCTTCTCCAGGCTGTTATAAAATGTGTTTACCAACCTCCAGCTGCAACCCCGCATCGCACAAGAGTAGCCCGATGATGGTCCAAAACTACCTTTCGCACAGCTGTTACAAGGCGTTTGGCAACCTCCAGCTGCAATGCGGCATAGCAGGTGCTTTTCTGCGCGCATCGGTGCCAACGCGTGTTGTCACAACTTTGCAACCCGTATAGCAGGAGCACCGCAGCAAATTGACCAAATCCGTGCAGCAGTGCGGCATTGACAAATGGGAACAATTCCGCGCTGCACCGAGACCACCAGTTTTTTACGATTTTTGCTGAAATCAGCTCTAATCGTTACAGTATCGTGCGCATCTTTCCGACCTCATCTTCCGAAAGTGCTCCGCGGCTCACTTTTTGTCGGCAGCTTTCCCGGATCGAGGCCCACACCCGCGGAAACACAGACCCGACTCTTGCGATCCCAGGAGCCACCACATATCTGTAAAAACACACGGTTTCGCGCCGGAGAGTGTTTTCACATGTTTTCACCAGTGAGTTCACACTTCCGGGATTCTTTCACTTCCCAACTGCTCACTTGATGATGATGATGATGATGATGATATGGTGATGATGATGATGATGATGATGGTGTGGTTGACATGCGACCAAATTTCCTTTGATGAAGATTGCAGACACTTGGAGATCACCAGGGTATAAGCCTCATTTTTCCAGCAGATCCTGAATGATTTTTGGATTTTTGCTGCCCTGAGGCGAGCCGCCGGCCGGGCTTCACAGGTGCTTTTCCCATGCATCATGGGCATGATGATTTTTTGAAACATATGGCTATGGATCGATGCCATTCCATGGCTATGTTAAGTGGGTGAACATCCATAAGTCCCAACCGATTCGGTTCCGAACCAACGATAACGATAACCCCCCGGTGATGCAGCCGTTGCCACCGCCGGTTGGAGGTTCCTCGGGTTCAACTGCGCAGCTGCCGGCGATCCAGAACCCAGGCAACCCAGGCGCTGGCGCTGGAGGGGGAGTGTGGGATTTCTGGCCCATGGCCCTGAAACTTTGATGACTAAGAAACCAACCAGGTACCTGGGAGCAAACAAACATAGATAGGTAGAACACCATAGGGAAACCCCTGGAAAACAATCTGGAAATCTGGATTTTCCACATCGACGTTAGTTTAGAGGAGGGTAACCAGGAGATGAAATGGGGAAGCATATGCTCCCATGGGTCCTTAATTTTCGGGCAAAACCAGACATGGCAGTGGGAAACCCGCGTTCTTGGGATTCTTGTTGCCTTGTTTTCCCCGGCACAAACATCATATTGACTACAGGTTGAACCAAAGCAGTTTTGGATAGTTTTGGAAGGTTGACTTAATACTGCGAGGCATCCGGAGTCACTAGGTGATCTAGACACACTTTGTTGGGTAGTTTCATTGGTTTACTGTTTGCTATGAGAGATTCCATAGCCATAGCCAAGCTCTCAGCGGATTACTTGCACCCCTCAGGTAGTCCTTCCAAAGCAGAAGCGACGGGCGTCTTGGCCATGAAGTGTTTTGTTTGAATTTGATCTCTCCCTGGGATGATGACCTCCCTGAAACTCCACAAGCTTGGCATTAATTGTTTTAACATCACAGGGCCACAGGGCCTTCCTTTTTGTTTTGATAGTGATGGTCACATCATGTCACATGGAACTGCACTCTGTCTTGAGCTGCTTCCATTCGTCGTACATGTAGTCTATGCGTACATGTCACCCCCTTCTACTGAGAGAGCACTTTACCCACCAAGTGACAAACTCTTTTCGATGGCAACAATTTCACCACCAAAAAAATCGATTGTCATGCTGCTGGATACCCTCTGGTAAACGTTTACATAAGTATGGAAAATCACAATTTTTAATAGTGAAATCAACTGTAAATGGCAATTTTCAATACCAGAGGGCATTTGGTTCTTGAATTGCGACCTGGCTGCCACCCTTTGTTGGTTGATTTGGTTGAAGCATGGTTGGACGCTAATCCGACTGACCTCTGATGAGTTTAGGAATGGCGAGGATACCGCAAAGTTTGGTAAAACTGTTTGGAAAATGGTCATAACCGGCCATAGTGCGGAACAAACATAGAGATACGAACTGAGCCAGTTTCTAGCCAGTTTCTTTGCCTTTCAGCACCTTCGGAGCGGATGCCAGTGGGCTGAAGGTCAAACGGAAGTCAGAGATAAGAAAGGCGGAGGGGAGTATTTACTAGCCATGTCGATCAGTGAAAGGAGTATCCCGCAATTAGGTAGTGTTGATCATCCACCTGATGAGGACAATTTAGATGTCGCATATCCGCATATCTATTGCTGGATTTGATTGGGTCAGGGGTCTGAAGAGAGCACGGATTTGTTGAAATCCAAACCTGAATACAACATAGAACTGATGAGGATAAACAACACAGTCCAAGATGATTGGTTGGTTAACTCCTCCATTTGCAGATGTGTTTTTCCAAAAACCATCTAAAAAGATCTAAAAAGTTGTCCTCAAGCAATCATTCACCCATGTCTCGGTCGTCGCGGAGGCTTGCCGATGACTTCGCCGAAGGTGACCAAACCGCAAATCGCCACGTGCCTTGGGTCGTTTTACAAACGTGCCTTGCCCATGTCGCAACATCCATAAGACAAAGACCAAATCAGATCAACCATAAAATCCGTTGATCATGGGAGTAAAACAATAAACCACCCATGACTGGGAATAGTCAAGTAATACCACCTATTTGATGTTGATGACTGGGGGATGGTTTATGACATGAAGTTTTACCGACATTACAATATTCCATGACATTCCGTTTATAACCGTCCTCATTACTGATAATGAGGTAAACCTACTAATTAACAATCCCCAAGTTTGAGGGTTATGAAGTTGTGTATGCGCCTATGGCTGGGATGATCGAAAAGGGGTTTGCGACATTATATAATCCAATTAAATATCAAATCCATTATTCATCCATTATTGTTGGTCATAGTCGTATCATGTCGTATTATTGAACACTACTAAACATAGAGCTCCTTATCAAATGGTTCGTAGTGGAAGATTCCCATTAATGAAACAATTCAGCATTGGAAGATGATGGGATTTTCATGGGAAACTTCCACTGATTTTCTGGATGAATGCCATCTTCTGCTGCCCTCGGGCAGCCCCTGAGGACCGCGCACTCGGACAGCAGTCTGGGCGAGACTGCGGCTATTCCCAAGCCCGGATGCCCAGGCTTTGGGAAACCCCATGAGTTTCCCATGAAAACCCTTGATTTTTATTGTTCAATCCCTCTGAAATTGAGGTTTTCATAGGAACATATATGGGAAAATCATCTATAAATGGTGGATGTTCAATCGCCACCTTTGACTACCATCGGGTACAAACAGTGATTATTAAACACGGATGTGGATGGTAAACTGGCAGGTGAATGATTCGTTCTTGGGTTGGTTTCTACCTTGTGATATGGGAAAATTATGGGGAAATATGTCATTGAATGCATAGTGTTTTTTTTATTATTGGTTTTTACGATCAGCCATTTGATTGGTACGCGACATGTATTCATAGAGAACTGGGGAGCTACGTGCTGAAAAACGAAGTCATGCTTGGCAAGGCTATTAATTAATATGAGAAACTCTTGGCTGATAATTTGGTGCTGTTTTATTTTCAAAGGCCAATGTTGCAATTTTTGGCCTAAGCCTAAGACCCCCTTGTTAATCAATCAAGTAGGCTCCAAATAATCCTTGTTGACATTACAGATTGACCCACAATTTTGGTGATGGTCATTTGCTAAAAATCCGACTTGGGATCAAACAAATTAGACATTTTTTTGGGTGGTCTAATATGGCTCAGAACTTCCCAGGTGGCATGCATGATGTGCCAAAGTTTCTTCGACGCCCTTTCTGATGCCAGAGTTCTACTGGGTCAAAGCACTTAGAGACCCCATCACCCCATCATGATATATCATGATCACATTGTGGATGAATACATATTTCTGTTTACAATTGTTTATATATATATATGTATATAATTATATATATATATGCGTGTGTGTATGCGTTTTTATATTTACATTGAAACATACATACATATATATACATACATACATACATACATGCATGCATGCATACATACATATATATATATATATAGATAGATGTATATGTAGATGTATACAAAGAGAGTCTTAGATAGATGTGTTGCGATGTTACCCTCATGACCCCGGGGCCCTAGGGATCACCCACCAAGGCCCAAGAGAGGAAGTACTAAGAGGCGCGACGACCGGACGACTGTGTTTTACCACGGTGGTTTTTCCCGTGGATTTTTCCTAAAATCAATGAGAATCATCCATAATCACCATTTTTAGTGGGAAAACTCACTATTTCAATGGCCATTTTCAATAGCTATATTAAATTACCAGAGGGTAATTTGTGCGGATTCTGGTTAACATGCCATTTTTGGTGGTGATGAAGTCGATTTTTGGTGGTGTTTGTTGCGAAAGAAATCCCACTTTTGATGCTTACCCCCAACAAAAATGATCAAGAACATGCAGTGAACCCAGTCAAGCCATCATCTCAACATCGCAACCGAGACCTCGTTGAAAACGTCGGGTGAGGTCTTTGGTCTATGGAGACCGACATCCGGATCAGGGCTTGTGGCATGTGGACTGCTCATCCATGAAGAACTTTGTCAGAGGTGCGCCCTCTCAAAAACCAGGAAGGGATATCAAAAATGGCGTTCAAATGGTGGGTTGAACCATCACCATCAATTAATATAGATAACGGAGATCTTTCTTGGATTCCCTGATGATATCGTATATTTTCCAGTGGCTAACATCAAATCAGGGCAATTAATTAAATGTAATTAGTGTAATTATTTGTTTACGGCTCCTTAAGCAAATCCAATTTGGCTGGCAATGGCTGGGTATGGGTTGTGGATGAGCTGGGGAAATGTCCAAACCTTGGGGCATTTGTCCCCAAGTTCTGCGCATGTTTATAAGAAACATGATTGAACATGATTTTTTTCACCATGGGATGGAACGGCATTCCGTAAGCCACATGGGATGACACGGGCATAGATGAGGACTCTGGGACTTGGGGACAAGTCTAGGCCAGGGGAGGCATCAGGGAACAGGCTAACAGGGCTGCGCTGGCAGAACGGCTCAGAACGGCTAAACTCGGCCCAACCATTTTAGGGTCACATGTGCTCATCTCAATTTCTGTTTCCGAGCCAAAACTGGTTTGTGGTTTCAGCCAGATGGCCAGTGTTTTCTGGGATGATGATCCTCAACTACCGTCACCAAAAAGAGTGCGGAAAACCGCCACTGACCCTGGTGGTTTTCCATTTGGTATAGATAACCCCACCATTGGCCAATCTTCTTGTAGTAAATCTTGTTAAGGGGCTTTAAAACAGTGTTTAAAATGAACATGCCGGGAATCCGTTTGTTCATCATTGTTCATCCATATTTGCCAACAGTGGTGATGATTGGCCGTGATTGTTTCCCAAGATGCGTCAACGGATCCTTGCCAGGTCCCTTCTTTGAGACCTCGTTTGCGATTCTCATCATGATCAATACAATTTTCATGGCCCTAGCCCCTTGGCATTCCATAGCAGTCGACTAGGTCCGGTGTCGAACCTGGAACAATATGAAATAGCATGAATATGTAATAAATGTATATAGTGATATTGTTGAGAACATCCAGGCTAGATTGTGTTCCTTTTCATCATGGCAATTTTGTGATCGATGTCAGGTTTTTGTGTGGATAGATGTACCCAGTGTTATATAAGTAATCATTATTACTCATCGTTTTCGAATATTAACGGTTATTAACGGTTTCTTATTACAAAGAACCACTATTGAATGATGTGTGTCAAAGTTTTTCGAAACCATGGCTGTTTGACCTGTGGCTGTTTGACCTCAGCCATTATCTTTCGTATGAGCTGCTGACATTCAATACATGGCTCATCCACCTCGGTTCCACATGCCGACGTGTGGCTAAGGAATATCAGTTCAATGGCCTTTTGGTGGGGCTCGACTCTTGGGCATGCGGCGTTGCGGGTTAGGATCCCAGATCCCTGACTCATCACCAGCCACAGCTTGTGAACCGCCCGATGGCGAAGCAGCCAGTTGCTGTCATGGTTTGTCCCCACAAAAGTGAGCTCTTCAGCAAAAACACATTCGCCCTCCCAAGAACAACTTGGTTTCTTTGAAACTTGGATAGACCAAACTATCCAAAATTCCAGCCAGTTTTATCATCATTGTTCAGTATCCATAAACTGGGGGCTCATCATCCCTTCACACCCATGTCTCATATTGTTGGATGCATGCTATATATATATATCTATTGCTTTATCACACAAATTTCACTCCCCTTGCACGGGGTTGGTTTTATGCACCCCATTTTGTTGGCTCAATTGTCCATCATGTTTTAAACACACTGATATTGTTGGTTATAGTTCCCTGCAATATCCACTTGTTACCTTCCACTTCAATCTATCATATACACATCTTAAATATTATGCCTTGATTATGCCTTGTTTTTTTGCCATTGGTGATATCCCATGGCTGTATATTTCAATTGTTGTTGGTTGAACTCCTCCTTTTGGACCAGCCCATATACTGTTCGAAATTGTTAAATACTCTCGATAAAGCTAACATAGATGTGGAACCCCCGCCATTGGCAAATCTTTCTTCTGGGGAAAGCATATGGCATATGTGTTCCACAGATTCCACAGTTTACAAGGGTATATCCCAAGAATATCCAGAAAAATGCAGCGCGTATATCCATTATCTCCCGATATCTCCCGATAACCTAGTTGGTTTTCTACCACCCTGTTTGTGGCTTGAAATGTCCCCTTCATATATGGTTTTAACAATCCGTGCGTTCCATCATCAAATATCACCCTGGAACCACTGCTTTGGTACCGAATCAAATCATTTTATATGGCGCATATGGGAGTGTTACTGTATATAGTGTGTACTGTATTGTATATTATATAGGCCATATATCCCCCATCTTTGGAGGATTAAACAATAAGAAACCACCATTTTGAGGGTAACACCATTATTTTTGAAGGTAAAACCACATAAAATCACCATTTTAATCTGATTAACCCATGTTAAACCCCTATTTTTAATGGTTCAATGGGTCCCAAGACGTGGCTAAGGAAATTGAGTATCCCAATCTCAGCACTGTGACCTCGAAGCATTGGCCCTGGGCAAAGGACACCTTCGAGGCTGCAGATTTCTTGGGTGGTCATGGCATTTGCTGTAGTTTACCCTCTGGTAAACTAACATAACTATGGAAAATCACCATTTTTAATGGGAAAATCCACTTATATAGTAAACCAATCCTATTTGGGGATTGTTTTCTTTTTTAATCTACGTTTATACCAACCATTACAGTATGCCAACCATTCATGGTACAGTGTAGCCTCTGGTAATTTAACATAGCTATTGAAAATGGCCATTTATAGTGAGTTTTCCGATTAAACATTGTGATTTTCCATAGTTATGTTAGTTTACCAGAGGGGAATTGTTTAATAGGGATGAGAATGGGGATGATAAATTTATAGGGATGATGATAGGGATGATACTGGGACATCATAACTCGCAAGTCTAATTGGTGATGCATTGTCATTTTGGACCCAACATCAAAAGGACAAGTTTATATATGTGGTTCATTAATGCTAATTTTATTTTGAATGATGTACAATTAACACAAGAATTACACAAGAACTTATGTGTGCAAATTTTAGTGCACATGTACATATACACATCATTTTTCATCCAAGCAACAGTTCGACGGAATGTAAACATCACCAGCCTCCTAGACAGAAACCAACGGTTGCGTTACCCTCTGGTAATCTGACATAGCTATGGAAAACCATCATTTTCAATAGGTAGTCATCAATGTAAATCATCTAGAAACTACAACTACTCTTCATATTTTCCATAGCTATGTTGGACCAGATGTTGGGTCCATTTCAAAGTTGGGTCCATGTCCAATTCATCCCCCAAGTTCGATGATCCCATCGATGCCGCCAGGGAGCTGAATGGTTTTTCGGCCTTGCATTCTCAGGTGCGGCGCTGCGGAGTTCCCGCGGCGCGTGTCGCTTCACCCGCGTTGTGAACTGTTCGAATGCTACGGACCAATTGGCCCGCTATATTTACGTTGTGCCAAGTAGATACTGTAACCATGTTTTCTGTTGATGGATGCAGAATTTTGGTGCATGCAGATCTGATTGGTAGCAGTGTGACTCTTTTTGGTACACTAGTGGTTTGGATTGACAGGAATGGGGCTGGAACTATCCAGGGCTTGGTCTACCCTCCACACAAAATTTGTTCATGGATCCAAAGAATGACCACGTACAGCAGAAAGATTACTTTTTAGGGTTTTTCATTGATGAATTGTGGAACTCCACGTTTCACTCCATCAGATCGGAACATCGCCACATGTCGTAGATGACTTCTTTCTTCTTTGACCGCATTTGACCTGGGAATTCACATGTGTGCTGACTAAACCCTTATTGTTCGTCAAATCACTTCAAATCCATCCCTGAAACCCTAGGGCAAGGTGCGTTCTTCATTCACTTTCCATCACATAATCCGATGGGTCATCATCTAATTAACTCGTTGCAATGTACGTCAAGCCAATCGTAAACTTATATAGTAAACCAATCCTATTTGGGGATTGTTTTCTTTTTTAATCTACGTTTATACCAACCATTACAGTATGCCAACCATTCATGGTACAGTGTACCCTCTGGTAATTTAACATAGCTATTGAAAATGGCCATTTATAGTGAGTTTTCCGATTAAACATTGTGATTTTCCATAGTTATGTTAGTTTACCAGAGGGGAATATTGAGGATGACACATTTGTTGGGCTTCCTCCTGATCAAGTCCAGGTGAACTGCTCTTGAAACTCGGAGGCTTGCGCTGCGGCTTCTTCAAGGACCATGACTTGCGGACAGATGTTTAAGTTAAATGATGGACCAAATGCTTGTTACAGGCCCTTAAACTGCCATTTAAACATGGGCATGTTCTGATTCATGATGTGTTATGTTATTGTTTCGTTTTTGTTTGCATAGTTCTACCAGGGTTTACCCAAAAAACTTCGTTCGGGATCTGCGCAATTTTCGTTCGTGAACTTGGTGTCGAAGTTTCAACCTGGTCATTGCGAGTCGAGCAAAGGATCCCTGGAACTACTTGGATGTGCTGATTGCGGCCCGGATTTGATGATTTGTTGGGTCACAGATGGTCACAGAGTTTTTGTTTGCCACCGAAAACATCAGCATGCTTTCATTGTCACGACCAGATGTGCGTTTTTGTTTTCCCCCCGAGGCTGGGTCATAGGTTAGGGCCTAGCAACAGCAAGCCAAATCATGAAAGAAGAACCTTGCGTTAGGTTTGTGGGGGCAGCTCAGTTTTGCCCTTCTCGATTCGAGGTAGCTCAGTTGCCATGAGACAGAGTTCAAAAGCAATGACCAATAATATTATATAATAAGTATCAACCTCCTCCTCCTCCTCCTCCTCATGATCATAATTATGATCATCCTCATCAAAAGAATGATATGAACAATACGATTCACACCAATAATAACAATAATTATAGGGATAATAGTAATAAGGAAAATAATCACCACCACCACCACCACCACCACCATCATCATCATCATCATCATCATCATCATGACCATGATCCTAATCATCACAGCACCGAACATGGCTGTCCTGGTTGTTCAGTTGACCACCACGCCTTCCGCTGGACAGCCCCAGGTCATGTTTTGGATCATCGATGTGCTCCCATTGGATCCCATGCTCATTCGCCTCTCGACCAAATCTTCCAACTCATCCCCCGGGTTCCAATGGGAAATCGTAGGAAAGCGTCGGGGAAAATCATAGGAAAATATATGAAAATATGATATGGGAAAACACATCTAGTTGGTGGTTTCGAACATGAATTTGATTTTCCATTTCATATATGGGATGTCATCCTTCCCATTGACTTTCATATTTTTCAAGATGGTTAAAACCACCAACCAGTTATGGTCTATTATGTGTTATTATGTTTTATTATAATCAATTGTATTTTTTAATATGTTATTATAGTTTATTTTAATTTAGTAATATTGGTATATTAAACAATATTTTGTCATGTTACCTTATATTATTTTCTAAATGTTTTATTATAATATATTATGTTATATTATGTTTTATTATGGTTTATTATGCTATTTTATGCTGTACTATGTTAATTATATTATATTATATTATGTTATATTATATTATATTATATTGCGTTCTATTTTGTTTTAATATATAAGACTATTGTATATTATGTTATTATACGGTTATGTATTATGTTATATTGTCATTGTATTACATTATATCATATTATTTCATATGATATTATAGATATATGCCCGGTACAGGCTCCTGAGAATTAACAACCATTTGGATGGTGTGGTTAAAACTGTCCAACCTCAGGAAGTGTCGTACGTTCAACCCTCAACCTGCGTCACGGCAGGTATTTTACGCCTGGCCAAGCTGCTGCGACTAGTGACACTGGGAAAAACTGGTGCAGCTGCCAGTTGGTGCAGGGGACTTTCCCACTGGAAACTGTGGCAATATCATGCCATATCATGATATGATTGATATGATCCTCCCTGCATAAGACCCATAGTGATCATAGTGAGCCTAGACAGTCAGCCACATCTAGTTTAAAGCGGGTAGGCGTTTTTTGGGGGCAGAGACATACCATCCCCATTTAGTTCCTATCAATCTACCCTACGTTCTACGTTCACTTCTGGATAGATTGGGTGACATATGACATAAATTGACATACGATGTTTGTGTAAATAGATGGTCCAGGCATCAGTGAGGTCAACAAAGATCCCAACCTTCTGGTAATCAAACATGGCAATCCAAATGTTCCCTACTATAAACCTTGGATTAATAAACCCCAAACGGCTGTTTAATTGGGGGGGTACCATTTAAGTATTGGATGACATGACTATTGGAAGACTACCCCCCTAATTAAACCATGGTTTATTAATCCCAGGTTGACATTACTATAACTGATGTTCTCATTGGAAGCTCCAGTTTCGATGGGGATGTTCCTGCCAGGCACGTTTGATTACCAGACGCCTTGGTTTATCCATATTATCATTTTATTCTCATACATTCTTCATGATAAACCCATATATTCCCCATACATAAATGGAGATGTTTTAGCATGCATTACCGTATATTTACCCACTATCTACCCACTATTTCGCACATTATATAGCATATTAGCATGGGGACATCATCCACATTTTCCATAGATTGTAGATGGTTTTAATTGGGAATTACCCACTATTTCATCTATTTCCATAGGTTTTTCCATAGATTTTCCATATATAGGTTCACATAGATCAATGGAGAATTTCCCATAGATTTCGCATAGGTTTTCCATATATTTCCCCAAACATGTCCCATAGATTTTCCATAGATTTTCCCATAGATTCCCCAAATTTATCAGGGGTTGGTAACTGTCCCATTTTGGGTATATTGGACATCACCTTCTAGTAGCCATATGTAGCCATTATAGACCATATACCTAATGGTTGGGTGATGTTCAATGGGGACATTTAATGACCCAAATTTATGGAGTTTGTAACGCGGGCCAATTTTCCCAGCAGCTCCCAGGAAATTGGCCAAGTCCATCAAGTCCTTCGACTCGCTGTGGCTCAGCACTGGGAAAGCTGGGGTTGGCCATGAAAAATGGCGGTTGAATGGGATTTATATGGGGTTTATAATGTGATTTAATGGGATTTAATGAGATTCAATGGGATTTAATGGGATTTAATGGGATTTAAGTGGATTTAATGGGATTTAATGGGATTCAACCGGGTTTAAGTTGATTTAATGGGATTTAATAGGATTTAACGGGATTTAATGGGATTTAATAGATTTATATGGGATTTATATGGGTTTGTATCATGATTTATCATGATTTATTCATTTGTAAATGAAATGCTCATGGTATTTACTAAGAAACAACATGGTATCTAAGGGGAGTTGGATCTGTGGGTGTGATTGAAAACCGGGTATAGCCCCAAAAGTTGCATGTCGATAGAGATCATGATGATCAACTATCAAATTTTGGGGTATCGTGTATATTTTCGGACAGACCCAAATAATCCGATTTTTCCTGCAAGAAAATGATGCTGATTTGGATTCGGTTTGTAATGAACAAATTCATGTCAATGTGTATATGTATATACATGAGTCTCGGATGGTAGTGAGCCAAAGTTGCGGACCAAGGGGTTAAAAGGCATCAACATTATCTCACGCAAGTATCAAAACATATCAAAACATGGATTTTACCAACACAAATTTGGGAGTTCAGACAACTTCGACAGTTTTTTGTTGATTTGAGAAGCAACCATGCGAATTTGTCCAATCAAAATGGCCTGAGTGGTGTCAAAGAGGTTTCGTTGACAACAAGCGGATTTTGACCAATTTTGCCCAAGTCGACTCGACACCCAAAATCCACATGACACTTTGCCAACACCCGTGGCTATTCCTTGCGATTCCTGATCTGCACTTGAGCCGGTATAATTATCCCAGTGACATTTGCTTACACAACCTCTTCTTAATTTCTAAATTCTAAATAATTATGGAATGCAACAATGCACGCCAGTATCCAATCTCAACGTTTGGCGCCAGTATCGCATCAAAAACGGCCATATTTGGCCGTTCACATCCCGCCGGCAGAGGTATTTGCTCACGGCATCCATTGCGAGTAGCTCCCTGGTTGACATCCTGGAGACCCAACATGGTAATCCAACATGGCAATGAAACAAATCTTGTATAAATGAAGGTTTCAATATGGGAACATCAAGTGTAAAGTAAACTGTAAATGGTGGGTTACCAGAGGGTATCCTGCTAGAATTCTGTGCCATAAATAGCTTAGTCCTATTGATGCAATCCAAAATTGTCCCCATGGTCTGCTCGGTATAGAAAAGGGGAAACACTCATTGTCTCTGCTGTTGCTATATGCCCCCAAGTTCGTGCTCCAACCTCAATGTTGGTCGATAAACTAGCAGCCCAAATTCCATGTTCAGTGGTTCTACAAGGGGTGTCCCTCAATTCTTTGATTGATGTATCCGTGACGTTACGCAGTTCCATACTCAATCCACGTTTCTCATCTTTTCTCAAAGTGCTCGGACAATGTCCCACATGGAAGGTGATTCTACACAAAAACGCAGTACAGTATGTGTTGGACAGAACTCCCTTACGTTGTGGATGTAACATGGTGTAACTTCATCTTTCACTGGGCTGATCTAAGGAATATGTTACAGGAAAACCCTGGCAGCCCTGGTAGCTTCATGGGCAAATAAACTGAGCCATGAAAATATCCCCATGTTCGATGCCTTCAAGGCCAAGCTGATGTGGATTGTGTATGTATATATATATATATATATTTATAATTATATAATATAATATGTTTATATACCTGACTTCATCCGCAGGTTACATCATGTTACATCATTTCATCATATTTACAAAGAGAATAGGATGTTTCATTATGTTTTTCTTTGAAGAATTAAAGGATGTCGAATGTTTCCCACGAACAGCCAGGGCCAAAACAAACAGGGCAGATCATACGCCGAGGTGCCTCGGCCCTGGTTTGGTCGGGCGTATTGATTTGCATCGTGCAGCTCTCGGTGGCTCTGGTGCTCAGCACCTTCTTGCGACTCGGACGGCCGTGGGTCGCCACAGATTTTTTAATGCAAACCCGAGATCTAGATGAAAAATCTAATGTGTTTATATATGTGTTGTTTCTTTCAATGATGAAACAGCTGCGGACATTCTGCATTTTCAAAAAATAAGTCTACAATCTATAAAATATTGATGATGGAACAGCTGCGGAAAGTATGTATTCTTGTCATGAAAAAAAACTACATCGTGAATTTCGTTAACCAACAAGCTGTGTGCAATCTTATGAGCAATATCCAAAACCAAACGGGCATTCAGTCTTTATTGTTAAGTTATTGTATTCCTTGAACAACAGCATTCCTAAATGATAAGAGGCAGTATAATGAATTCTGGTTAATTCTGGTTCGAATGCTGTCTTACAAATCGAGGCTTGTATTTTAGAAACTAAAACTGATAATTTATATATATATAATTATACATTATCAAATTGGTGTATTATCCAGTTTGTCATTACAATTAGAAGTATATCAACATGATAATTATATGATATTAAAGCAGGGTTCCTTGATACTTTGGTTCCTTGATAAGTATGATCATTATTCAACTATTATAAGGGTTCCTTAGATCATTGTTATAAATGAATATCACGATATAATTAAACAAAAAATACATCACAATTATGATATATAATAATTATATTATAACATTATATCAACTTAGTATATCTATTCAACTTTCATATACTCATGTTATCAACTATCACAATTTCATACAGTTTATAGCTGGTTGGTGGTTTGGAACATTTGGACTATTTTCCATAATATGAATGGATGTCATCCTTCCCATTGACTTTCATATTTTTCAAGATGGTTAAAACCAGCAACTAGATGTTTCTTTGTTGAAAGTGGGATGTTTGTTGGGTTAATCCACTTACATTTTCATACATTTATGGCAACTTGTCAACTTAGGGTTCCTTAAATCATAGAATTGGATGATGGGAAAATTGAAACCGGAAAGCCCTATATTTGATGGTAAAAACCATGGTTTCCGGTTAAGATTTTCCCTTAAACACATCGTGCTGTCGCGCAGGTTGCCGTACTGTACCGACTTGTCCATCCCCGAAGGTGATCGCAGCTGGGCAGATGGTGACATGGTAATGGCAACAAAATTTGGAAACCTATGGAACGAATATAGAAATGTTATGGAAATTATTGTAAGAATATGGAACAAGTACCTATATATTGTGTATATATATATATATATGGAAATGAAACATGCAACGTATATATCTATATATTATATGTATGAAATTATGTATAATATGATGCATGGAAATGGAAGCAGTGCAAATTTGAAATGATGGATGGACAGAGTATTGAACATATATGATATGGGAACAAGTACCTTCTGAACAGGATTTCTATGGAGAGAAAAACGCACTTGAAATAGTGGAGATGTGTCATTCCCAGGTTGAATGACCAGATGGGATGCAACATACCAAGAGTGCGAAATGAGCCCCAAAGCAAAGGCAAAGTGAAGTGGTGGTAATGTCCAAGAACTGGGTTATTCACGACTACCACAATTCCTAGCTATGAAGCGGCAACAAATAGCGCACATCAAAACTGGTACTATTTTTTGGGCATATAAACAGCAAATCGATGATGATGGTCACCAGTAAGAGTGGTGGATATCATATGACTAACGCCTCGTGGGCAGCTGATGGACTTGCCGTGTTTACCGGTGGTTCACATTTGTTGAAATTCTGCCCGCTACAACTTTTCTACACATGTAAATGTGGTGATGAAATCACCAGCCACTACGGACATCACATTTTGTTGTAGGTCCTGCATGTAATACATGGGCCATTTATGGCTCTTTTACTGTAACATATGTGAACCATAGCTATGTTAGACCACTCTGGTGTCACGGCTGAGGATTTGAGGTCTACCGCTACTTCGGGACCTTCTCCAGATCGATGCTTTCCATGTTTGCACCTGGGCCAACTCCTGAATCGGTCCCCTCCCTTTGCAGCGCCAAATCCATCAAAGAATCACAGTCTCAAGATGTTTCATCAGCCCTCATCATGTTTTTCTTACCTCTGTCTCTCTCTCTCTCTATCTCTCTCTCTCTATCTCTCTCTCTCTCTATCTCTCTCTCTCTATGCAATTTATATATATATATATATGTATATATATATATATGATTATATGTGCGTGTGTGTGTGTGTGTCTATGACTATCTATATGTTTATATAAATATATTTGTGATTATATATTATTACATTATTGTATATTATCATATATTATTGTGTTTATATCTGTATATATATATATATCGATATAAAAGCGTTCAAACCAGCCTAAGCCACTCATTTTCTGCTCCAAGGAACTGACCTTGGGAAACTGGGTGCCCATCTCGCGGATCCTCTCGGCGCCTAGGCACTTGTGACTCATCCCGCGGGTTCCAATGGGAAATCTTAGGAAAAACCATGGGAAAATCATGGGAAAATATAGCAAAACACATCTGGTTGGTGGTTTCGCACCTTGGTTTAGTGTAGGTTAATGATGGTTAATGATGGTTAATAAATGTTAATAAATGTTAATAATGGTTAACAATCAACTGTTTGGTAGTTTCAAACATTTGGATTATTGTCCATAATATATATATATGGGATAATCCTTCCCATTGACGAACTCAATAAAACCACCAACCAGTTTAGTTCATATCAACATATTGTTTGATATTGTTTGATATATCATGATGAATGTATGTGTGAATAACCATGAAAATCTGAGTTTTATATAGTTTTGGCATGTTTCTATATATGTGTGAATTACATTGAATTACTACATGAACTGTTGTGTTTAATTACTATATTCATTTTTTGCACATGGATATGTTTTTAGCAGAAATGTTAGTAGATATTTGTGTGTACAAGTAACAACTTGCAATTGCAACATTTTATATACTGTAATGTTGCTAATGTTGGCTAGAACAATCAACACAAGATGTTTTAAACAACTAGTATACATATTTATGTATATGCATATACATGGTTACATATGCCGGCTGACTTCGAATTGGTCATGGTGAATCTTGTGGGATCATATCATATATCACATATCATATATCATATGTCTTATATCACATATCATATATCATATATCATATATCATACATCATATATCATGTATCATATATCATGTATCATGTATCATGTATCATATCATATCATATCATATCATATCATATATATATATATGTACATATGACTGGGATATACAACCAATACTGCGCTGTTTGAAACCGATAGTTTCTTGGATGAATTCTAACTATTTCTGCAGCTATTTTGGAAACAAAGAAAGCACATAAGAAAGAAAGAAAGAAAGAAAGAAAAAAATAAAGAAAGAAAGAAAGAAAGAAATAAAGAAAGAAATAAAGAAAGAAAGAAAGAAAGAAATAAAGAAAGAAAGAAAGGAAGGAAGGAAGGAAGAAATAAAGAAACAAAGAAAGAAAAAAGGAAGAAAGAAAGACAGAGAGAGAGAAAGAGAGAGAGAGCGCACGTTGGAATACAGTAAGGGTCGAAGAACCAAATATTTTTACTCACGACAATTGGGGCTCCAGACAACTTATGGAGATATGTCGATCTGGCCTGCGCAAGGGAATCCTAATCTTTGGGATTGCAGATTGGTTGGCCTGATCAAGCCGATTAGCCATACTGGGGTGTATATAAACCATGAAGCACGGGATAGTAGTCAACAACAAGTGTTTATTTCATGCTAAAGCCATTTGGTGAATGCCTGTTTGGCCATTCAGGGCATATCAAGCAAAACAAATCCTAGTAGCAAATGTGCGCCCTTTTTTGGCCCACATGTTGAGCCTGGCTGAGGAAAAGGTAAGCGAGTGGTATACCATTTTCACCTTGGCATTTCAAGTCATCCTGGGCTTTGCTGTGCCTTGACGACAGCCAGAGCTGCATGCCATGGCAGAAGCAACTTGCACTGTATGCATATTACGCAACGCGTTGTGTGAGCACATAATTTATCCTTGTCTAGACACGGTATTCCATACTTTACTACACTTTGCACCTTTGTTTTTTGTGTTTTCCACTGGACTTTTGTTTGGAATTGAGTCAATGGGTTACTACGGGTAAGAAATGGATGGTCAGCGTCCCACTGGGGAAGTTTTTTTCGCGCGCCGAGATATTTGAATGAGTGAACATATAAAAAATGAGGACTGAACAAACCACGGATCAAATGGATCAATTGATCAATAAATGAAGAAGTATCTCATAACCCTCATACGTAGAGAAGACAGCAACATATCTTCGGCATATGTCATGCTTTTTGTGCACCTTTCCTCCTGGCTCCCAACTCGGCGGCAAATCCCATCTGAGGTCATCAAGGTGATTACAGGCGTGTTCTTGACGGAGCCTTCGCCACAAGTTGGGTCAAGACTGGTCAGTTATGGCAGCTATGGGGCACTCTGGGACCATTTTTTTGGGAATACCATCGTTGGGGGAATATGTATCTACAATTAAAATTAATTATAATTATTCATATATATATATATATAATTTAATATATAAGATGGTGGTGGAGAGAGAGAGAGAGAGAGAGAGGGAGAGAGAGAGAGGGAGGGAGAGAGAGAGA